TTTGCACATAATTTTCAGTGTGTGCTTTTTAGAATAAATTTTTAATGATCTGATATCAGAAACCATTATTATGCATAACATGTTAAATCCTAAAGTAAAATAGACATTATCTACAGTGTAGAATCCTATGAAATGAAGCCTTTTTAAATCAAATTAATTCCAAAGAGATACTTAAAGTGCTGACACAGAATAGTTGCTGTAGGGCAAGATAAAATTGGAAGTGATGTTTTCATACCTCATGTACAAATTTTTAATCTTTTTAGTAAAAGCTTAAAAATAGCATGAAGATGCTTCAATAACATTATACTGGTGTTTCCTGAGTATCAGCTTTTAGAATGGTGGCTTTGGCCCAGGGTGATGGTGGCTATTTCGGGAGCTGACATACCTATTGATTCCCTTATAAGGCCATATAGTTCCTTTAATATATTGGCTGTGATTTCTAGACTTCCTTTATAGGACGTCCATGTTAAAAGTATAAGTAGAATTTTTTTTAAAAGATTAGAATTTGGAATTTGTGTGAAATTCAGCCTAACATGCTTTATTAACTGATGTAAGATTTTGTCCGTTTGTCACAAGATTTGTGTATACCGTCAAGCCATATTGCCACAATCAAAAAGAGGCCGCTTAAACCCCACTGCTTTTTGTTTACATTGCAACCTGCTTACTATTTAATAGCACAAAAAGAATTGTATAATGAACCCTACATGGATCCTGTGGAGTCCTATAGCTCAGTGAGAGCACTCACTTCACAAGCAAGAGACTTGGGTTCGATTCCCAGCAGGGCGAAATGTTGGGCAAGTTTTCTTACTACACACACCTCAGTTTACCTAGCAGTAAGTAGGAACCCGGTTGTTAATCGATTGGCAGATTGCTTTTCTGGGGAACTAATTCCATCAAAAAGTAATCATGATAATAATTTGGTCACTCAATCCACTGTTTGTGGGACACTGCTGTGCGCAAATGGCTACAACAACAAGATTTCATTTATAGAGCGCCCCTTTCACGTCGGGAGGACGTCCCAAGTCGCTGGACAGTTGGGCTGAGAGGCTGAAGGTCCGGCCACTGATGGTAGGGCGGTTGGGGCGGGGGATGTGGAGGAGACCGGAGCCAGAGGAACGGAGGGTACGGGCAGGTAAGTAGGGGGATAGTAGGTCGGAGAGGTAGGAGGAGCGAGGCCGTGAATGGCCTTGTAGGTGAGGATGAGGATCTTGAATTCGATCCTCTGGGGGATGGGGAGCCAGTGGAGGCGAGCGAGGGTGGGAGTGATGTGGTCACGAAGCCTGGTGCGGGACAGTACACGAGCTGCAGAGTTCTGAATGACCTGCAGTGTGGAGGGAGGTGCCGGGAAGGCCGGCGAGGAGAGAGTTCCCATAGTCCAGCCTTGAGCTGATAAAGGCGTGGACCAGAGTTTCAGCAGCATTAGGGGTGAGGTAGTGCCGTTGTCTGCCGATATTCCGGAGGTGATGGAAGGCGGTGCCAATTATGGCGCGGATATGAGGGAGAAAGGACAGCTCAGGTCGAATAGAACACCGAGGTTCCTGATGGCTTTGAGAGGTGGAGAGTGCAGCCTTGGATGCTGATGTTGTCAGCGCCTGAGGTGCGGAGGCGCTGACGTGAGCCAATAAGGAGGGCCTCAGTTTTGCACACGTTGAGCTGAAGAAAGTTGTCTCTCGTCCAGGACTCGATGTCGGACAGGCAGCTGTCAGGACATCGGTGGTCGTGGAGTTGAGGGTAGAGGAGGAAAGGTAGAGTTGGGTGTCATCCGCATACATGTGGAAGTTAACCCCATGTCTGCGGATGATGTCACCACAGGGGGAGCATATAGAGGGTGAAGAGGAGGGGACAGAGCCCTGAGGGACATTGCACGAGACAGTGCGGGGGCTGGAGGAAAAGCCGTTTGTGGNAAAAAATGAAGATGGTGGGACATGGCCTTGAAGGTTGAAGGACAAGCGGTGGAGGAGGACAGCGTGATCGACTGTATCGAATGCGGCCGATAGGACGAGGAGGCAGAGGGAGCCCTGGTCGCAGATGGTCAAGATGTCATTAGTGACCTTGACCAGGGCGGTTTCTGTGCTATGGGCAGCACGGAAATCCGACTGAAGGGGTTCGAATAATGAATGGGTGGAGAGGAAAGAGCGCAACTAGGAGGGCATGACTCTTTCAAGGACCTTGGACAGGAAGGGAAGGTTGGAGGTGGGCCGGTAGTTTGATAGCTGCGACGCATCAAGGGAGGGTTTTTTCAAAGTGGGAGTGATGGTGGCAGTTTTTAGGGGAATGGGAACAGAGCCAGAGGAGAGGGACAGGTTGATGATGTCTGAGAAGTGGGGCAAGGAGGTGGAGCTGGGAGATAAGGAGTGGAGTGGGGATGGGGTCAAGGGAGCAGGTGGTGGGCTTCAGGGACAGGATGAGGTGGTGATAGGAGACGGCCTTGTCGGTAATGGTGACATCCGAGACACTGAGGCCCCGGGTGATCACCAAATCGAGTGGGTGGCCGTGACTGAGTGGCGGAGTTGATGTGGAGGGAGAGGTTGAGCGAGGTGAGCAGGGAGAAGTTCCAAGGAGATGGAGCAGGAGGGGGTGAAGTGCAGGTTGAAGTCGCCCAGGATGATGAGGCGATCAGAGCAGAGGCAGAGAGATGTTAGTAGGGTAGAAATATCGGAGATGAAGGTGGGAGAGATTTTAGGGGGCCGGTAGAGGAGGAGGATTTTGAGTGAGAGGTAGGAGGGGTGGGAGAGGGTGAGGTGCTCAATAGAGGGGAAAGAGCCAGAGGAGTAGAGGGATAGGGGAAGTGGTGTCCTTGAGATAAGGGCTACACCACTGCCACGGCGGTTGGGGCGAGGGATGTGGTGGGAGGTGTAGCCGGGTGGTGTGGCCTCTGGAGGGGGAAGGTGTCGCCTGGGGTGAGCCAGGTTTCCGTTAAGGCCATGATGTCAACGCTCTCATCAAGGATGAGATTGTTGATGACTAGGGCCTTGTAACAGAGGGAGCGGATGTTTTGTAGTCTGATGTGGAGGGAGCTGTTGACAGAAGGGTGTGTGGGGAGGGAGGGGGGTCCAGGTTGTGAGACAGGGGTGGGGGGAATGGGGATAAGGGAGGAGAGGTTGGCTCCCTGGGTCTGTGTCCGGGGTAGCTGGCAAGTGTGGTGGGGAATGGGGCAGTCAGTGTGGCTACTGCTGGACAGCCAATGTCGAGTTTCACGGTAAGCCCAGCGGAGGATTCCCAGGCTGGAACAGAGGGAGGTTGTGGGAGGGTCAAGTGGGGATAGAAGGCAAGGAGGACAGAGCGGGAGAGATGTAGAAGGGGGAGGGTTTGGGGGGAGGGCGGGAGGGTCAGAGCGGCAGCCATAATGCGCACGCGATGACCGGGAGCGAGCGGTCAGTTGGATGGCATTCCTGGTCTGTGTGATTCGGTTTCACGTGAAACAGGTGCTTTTCTAAATAAAGCATTTTACAGGTCTACTCTCTTATTCTGAATTTAGTTATGTTTTTGTTCAGTTTCTCATACATGCCAAAATTCATACTGGTGATGGAGATGAAAGAATCTGGATTCCTTACATAAATATGTATTGCAAATAAAGATTTTCAAGTGGAAATTACACTTTTTAAAGAAATGTCATAATTTCCTGGGTGGAGTGCTTCCGGTCTACAATGGAAGTTTGCTTTGAAATTGTTATTTGTTCAAAGAAGTTTTGCTAGTAAAATGATCTTACCAGTAAGGCACAGAGGAAGCTTTCATTTGAATTTAAAAAATAAATAAAACTGCATTCCTTCCTGTCCTGCCTTCAGAAATCATACTGTGATTATGTTGTTGCTTCAGTGCTTTTGAGCATGTTAACAGCAAACTTGCACTTTTATTCTGCCTTTCACGTCAATAGGGTGTCTTGTGATTTGGTGAACTCATAGCATACTTGAATACCATTCTTTGTGTCTGTATGCTGCAATGTGTTGTAATTTGGAGAGCATACTAAAGAAACCACCCCATGTTGAGCCGTTTTTTCCTCCAGCATTACAGATTAGCAATTTACATTTCTATTTGAATATTTTAAATAAGAATTTCATAGTTTGAAAATAAGTAGAGCTACTTAATGAACCGAGTTGGAAATTGAAGTAGCCATCATTGACGTCATGTGCGTCGCCTCTGAACTAGCATAGTTTTTTAGCTAGGTCAGTGTCTGACCCATGTGGAAACCCATTACCGTGCTTAAGAGTATCCAAACCAAGCTGAGATTTTCATGCATCCCACCTACGCATGGAAATCCCAGAGATAGATTGTTGGAATGGAATGAGTAATCTCTCCCTGGAGGGATGCATCCTGCTTACCTAATTCCGGAAGAGCCAAGGCTTGGGGACCCCAGAAGTAGGATACTTGAATAACTGAACTAGTCCATGCCATTCTAAACATTAATATGGAATTCAGTGGAGTTTTTTGTAACAAAATAGTTTTATGATTTCCCGATGCTTTTGCTATCAAATTGCTGCATTTGATATAGTGCCTGATACTGGCAGAAAACATAAAACCAGGAAGCATGTCATTAGTATACCACTTTAAACTGGCAAACTTCAAGGGTATGAGGCTGAGATAAGTGACATTGACTGGGCGGCATTATTCAAGGACAAATCAGTGGAGAATAAATAGGCATTGTTAACATTATGCAGTGCAGGAAGAGAAATGCATACTCAAGTGTAGCAGGGGGGAATTAATCAAAGCAATCCAAAATGGATCAATAGAAAATGTAATAATAATCCTTGACATCAAGCAATTCACCGGATATACTGTAAAGTGATGTGGCTGTGTGTATTTGGTGGGCAGAAAGAGGTCAAAAACAGCTTTTTAAAACATGAAAATATGGGCCTAATAGCCACCTAGAAGGTTGTATATTTCCATGGAAAACCTGCGCATTTTATTTTGTTTTCCATCCTGTTTATGAAAGCAAATTTTCATCCATTCATTGATTTCACTGCTTTGAATAGTCTTTTAAAAATCTATTTTTCCTTTTTCAGGGCAATCACTTCGATCAATATGAGGAGGGACACTTGGAGATTGAACAAGCGTCCTTGGACAAGCCCATAGAATCGGTAAGGTGTTGGATATCAGTTGAGAATTTATTTGGTTATCAGAGACTTAACTGCCCCTGAGTAAGGGAGAAGGTAGTTCAGGTTTGAATATTTTTAGTTCAAAAATTGAATATAGCAAGTAACAAGACATTGTTGAAAACTTAATATAACATTTTGCTTTTTTAATTTGAAGTTTTTGTAACATTAAGTTTATTAATGTTGTGCTGCTATATACAGGACATCGAAAATGCATCTTTATATTTAAGCATAGTGGAAAAAGGTAATCTGCATTTTGTTTGTACTTTATTTTATATAAATTCTATATAAATAAATAGTAAAGCTACTGCATTGCTGCTTCAGTAAAATGCTTAGTAATCATTAAATAATCCCTTCCGCTCAAATCAGATGTCTCTTTGTTTTTAATTTTAACTAAATGGTTCTAATTCAGTTAATTTTTACATTATGCGCGTTAATCCAGTACTTCAGTTTTGCAGCATTAGTTGTGCAGTAGTAATCATTGGTCACACATGGTGAAGGATAGAACTTCATGTGCAGTATCGGATGTGTGAAAGGAGTCAAAATATATGCTGATCCTGTCCAGCCACTGAATACAAAGATTTTACCAGCTGCGATGGTGGCTTTACTTTTCTTTAATAGTACTGAACATAAAAAGATTGACTTCAGTATAATTGCGACGCAGCCCCTCTATTTTTTGGAAAATATTGTTTTTGTTTTTTTCCCAATCACAACCTATCATTTTGTTGACTGAATGAATGGTAGGATTACACATTCTCAGGCTTCCAAGAAAAATGTTCTTGAGCGCAGGAAACCCTGTCTCCTGTAATTTAATTTCTCCCAGGGACAACCAAATTATAAACGTAGAGAGAAGGGAACCTCAGAGAGCAGATCTATTTTGTGAAAGACTACCTACAATTGAAAAGCAATAAATTATTTAAGTAAACTTTTTAGTCTTATGAAACGTTCGCAAATTTAAATTTGTTAGTCATACTAAATCTGTAAGTACACTACTATTGTAGTGACTATGGAACATAGCACTAAAGTCAGCATCTAATCATAATTTTGTACTATACCATAAAGAGGTTATAGTTAATTAAAATGATAATGTGGTTGGTTTGTGTAGATTGATCTCTCACTTGCAAGGCGAGCACGCTAATCGCTACGCTACAGGCTATATTCCAGTATAGATCCACTGGCATGTTCTAACAGGGCTGCTCTGCATATTCAGTAATAATTGCATTGTGTTTGCTTATACGCAAGGCAATCTAATGGTTTTATTAGAAAAAATTCTAGTGTGTCGAAGAGCGAGGAAGAAAGCAATGGGAGTGTGACACATTTTATAAACTGATTTATTCAGAATATGGATTTAGTGTGCCCGAATCCCATTTGGTGTGGCTGTTTTATAAGGATCAGTAGATATTTCTACTCTTACGGAAGATGTGCCTGTGTTTCCATGTAATAAATAATGCACACAACTTGGGGTGTCCGCCATTTCTCTTCTGCAGCAGTTGGGCCATAATTGCTAAGCAGCCATGAACTGGTTTGTATTGCACGCTCTGCTATTTTTTTTTAGGGTTTCCTGGTTCTTATCCTGTCCTTCCAATACAGTGAAATACCTACTGTGAGACTTTGCTGGCATGATGCTTGTCTGGAATGGCAATAGCTGATGATGCATGTTGGTAATACTGCAGGAGGATAAGTTTTCAATTGAGCGGATCTAATACAATTAGTCCTACCACATACAACTAATTTTAAATTATTAAATTGTTTTGCTTTGATAATGAGATACCTGAAAATTCCACCACCTAATTAGTTGACCTCCTTCCTTTACTTTAGGCACTTGAAACCTTTTTTTTTCTGTTGCCTACTTACCAACACTTTTCAGCCTCATCTGTTTTTACCCAATCACAGGATAACTGGCTAAGATTGCCCAAAACTTGGTGATCATTATAGATCTTTGTTTTCTAAAGCTTGCTATTCACCGAGATGGCTAAGAAAAACAAAATATGCCAATTTACTGGATTCTCTACAATGATGGGGGTGGGGAGGATTTCATTTAAAATCATTTTCCACTCACCCTTCCCCTCGGGGCTTCATAATTGATCAAAAGAAGATGAGCAGTCAAATGGAACATCACCTTAAATATACCCAGCAGAGTGCGAGAGTCACAGGGATTTCTGGACTAGACTAAGAAATGCCCTAGAGGATTAAGATAGACATAAGCCTTTCATGTATGGAGAATGATACAATTTTCCAAAAGACTTGCAGACTTCTATAACTGACTCAGAAAATCTGACTCCAGATTATTAAAGCAAGTGAATCCTGGGTTTTCTATTTTCCCACTCCCTGATTAAGCAAGCTGTGAAATGGATTTGTAATGAAAAGAGAGACTTCAGGGAGGGAGAAAAGCTTTTGACCAGTGGTGGTGCTCTTGGAGTCAGCCTCATAAGTGGCTATCTTTGCCAAAGTAATGAGGATCTGAGATGCTGCCTGCAAAGATCTCTCCACACTGTTGAAAGCCGGCGTTCATCAAAAGAGCGGAGAAAACTCGGGTGTGGATTAACAGATGCTGAAGGCATATCCTCAATTATGGGTTTTTTGATGTCTCGCTCTTATATCCTCACTCTTTTGTATCCATCATTCTTGCAACTGCTACTGATCTTTTGCACCCACAACTGGTGGGTTATAGGTGTGCTGAAGAAAGGTGTAGCCAATGTTTAAATATTCTTGGGGTGGAGGGGAGGAGTAGGGTGGGGAGGAAAGTAAGCAGAGCTGTGCTGAGTTTGGGATAGTTCACAGGTGAAATGTCCTTTTACTACTTCAAGGTATAATGCATTAAAGAACTAACATATTGCAAGCACTGTCCATTCAGAACTTTTTAAAAAGACATTAGCAGAGTACTAATATCTTCCTAACCTCTCAGTCAACTCAAAGCTACTGTTTATAGAGAAACAGTATTCAGTGTGCCAGATTAGTGGGGCAATGCATAATAAAAAAAAGTTAAGAGATTTGAATTACAGATGGATATAAAATGTTAGGGCTTTTTTTTCCCCTCGCCCCATTATAAATTATGTCCCCACTATAGCTCTTGAAGCCATTTTATACAGTCTACATTTGTGGTGGTCTAGGATAAATTGGTATCTCATGTCAGGCAGATGAATAATTGATCTATTCCTTTAAAAGCTTTATTATGGATATGAAAAAGGACAAAAGGCTTGTCCACATGCAAGAAAATTATTTCCAAACCTTATAAATTCAGATATAGTCCTGCAGAATTGTCGTGAATTGTGCTAAATGCTATGCTACAGCATAAAGTGTACAATTAGTACATCATACAGCAAGCTTGGCTACATTGGAGTCCACTGATTTTGAGGTAATTGTATAATGAGAACGAATTTATCTGACACTCGGAAGATAACCTTGCTCAACAACTATAGCGTTGTCCATAACTGTTTTGATTGTTACAATTTTAACATGAACACCAAATCAAAAATAAGAATGTGCACAAGTCACAAGTTTAGCTTTCACTGAATCTAAATGATAGTTGGCTATAAAATTCATTTTTCCAAATGCCGAGACCCTTTCAACAGCTCCATTCTAAACAGACTTTTTAAAGTGACTTAGGTTTCAAATACTTTTAGCTCTGAAATAAATATTAAGCTATTAGGATTCAAGCTTGTGCAAAGCTAAAGATTATTCTATTTTGAAAGTCATGTTCTTTTATCTACTACTCTACTATACCAGGTTCAGCCTGGCTTATTTGGTTACACTCTTGCCTCCTAGAGCCTTATGTCAGATTTTTGAACTCAGTCAAGGCAGACACTGCAATGCAGTGCTAGAGCTGTGGTGCATTGTTGGAGATGTTGTCTTTTGGATGTGATATTAAACCCAGGCTCCTTCTGCCTGTTCAGGTGGACATTAAAGGTCCCATGGCACTATTTGAAAAGACAAAGGAGTTTCTCCCAGTGCCCGAGTCAACAATCCCCCCAATAAATTTGGTCATTCACTTCTTAGCTGTTTGTAGGACATTACAGTATGCAAATTGGATGCCACTGGGTTCGCTCATAAAATTTTGCCCACCTATGCAGTCACACCACTTTACAATAAATTCTATAAAGACTCCAGACTTTCCTCTGATTGTGCTTTTGGATACTCTCCCACATCCCATACCTTCCACCCCTCTTGACTCCAACCCCCCAGCTTGGGTGCGAACCCTGAACTGTCCAGAGCCTTGAACGTCCTTCCAACCTGAAAAGCGCTATATAAATATAATTTTGGTGTTGAAGCTTTGAAACTTCTCAATGACATGATAAGGTGCTATACCAAATATTAGAATTACTAATAATATGCAACACAATAGTATTTTATGAGCTATTTAACTTAGTTTGTTAGTGTTTTAGTCTTTCTATTTAATGTCTGAGCTTGAAGTAACAGTAAAAGCTTTTTTGTGATAGGTTATGGTTTCTTGCTTTGTACAAACACAAAGGTCTGTGGACTCCAAAATGGACAAAGGGTTGCATTAAAATGGCCGCTGATTTGACATTTAACAGTAGCCGCATGTTTCCGACACTATAAATATTTCATATTGTGTAGCTGTATGGTGTAGCATTACCATTTGGCTGCCTTTGCCATCATCGTGTGTCATCTGTAGTGACCTGCAGGATTGTTTGGGCACTCTTCTGAAGTGCTCTTGCATGTAATACAAATCAGCCTTTTATCAGCCTTTCTATTACATTTTGATTTATTTCTCATAAATATCTCTCTATCTATATATGTATGCATGTGTGTGTGTATATATGTGTGTGTGTATACACACATATATATATATATATTATACACACAGTATTTTTTATTTACTTTGATTTTTTCCATTGTGTCATGGCACACTGCACTGACTTATTGCTGGTATTGAATCGTGGATTTACATTGTGCTTTCACTGTTACCTAATGTAGACATTACTTGCAATCAGTGATTTGAACAGAAGCAGACCATTAGTGTTTGGACAGTTTCTTACTTTGTGTTACATTTAACTGTTCTTTTGACAGCCCAGTTTTTAAAGCCAGGTTCGTATGGAAATGCTTTCACTCCACTTGCACTGCTTTTGGATTAGCCTATTGCTTCATCTGTCTTTTTTTTAATGCATTAATTAATAATAATGCAGTCAGGGTAATGTCTCATTCCGTTTTCCCCTCAAGTTTATTAAGCGGTTCAATATTTCATCATCGGTTTCAGTGACACAGTTTAAGAATGTTAATTTCCATGTCCATGTTTGAGGGAAGAGATGGGAAAAATACAGCCAATCAAAGGATGGGAAATAAGTTAGAATTCGAACATAGTTATCCAAGATTATATTTTTCAAATTTCCATTATGTGTATAAAATGTAAAAGGTTATAGATCTAGAATAATAGATAAATCTACAGCATAATAGGAGACCATTGCATTAGTATCAGGATTTGCCCTTCCAATGAAATCATGTATCCCTAAGCCAAATTCCCAATATGAAATAATTTATAGATTAGATCTAAACATGAAAGATAAGTGGACTTTCACTTCAAATTTAAAGTTAATATTTAAATTTTGTGTCCTAGGCTTATCTTATTTACAAATCCTGTTTCACAGTGAACTAAAAGTGCGGTTAATGTAACATCTTTACATGCCCTAGGGCAAACTAGATTAGGAGCTTGAAATAGAACTGCATAGAGAAAATATGAACTGTTTATAGAATTTGTTTTTGTTAATGTTAACTTGCATTTCAGAACCGGATGTATACAATCCGCCTCTTAATCTGGTGTACAAGTCCATATCTTTAACTAATTTCTCTTTTTTTTTAGTTTCTCCTTTATTTGTCCTTTCTCCCAAGTATAGTCTGAAAACTGTAATACTAATCATGTGATCAACCAAAAGCTCTGACCAAAATGTTGATCAAATCCGCACCCAGATATGTCTCTTGATAATTTTCAGAAATATAGAATGTAAAATGTCCTCAAATCCCCTACAGAGTTTGGAAATTGGTGCTGTTTTACACTCCTTAAATAAAAGATTGCAAGAGCTTCTGATTTAAAGAGTTATGATTCTCTGAGGTGAAAAATATAAATATTTTTAAATGTGAGTATTTTGTTTCCCAACACACACTGAGGTACATTGAGATGCATTGGTTGGGAATGGTAACCAGTCTATTAGTGAATAATTCCTTTATTTAAATGAACTAAGTTTCATATTGAAGAATGTCTTCCATGGGAAATATTACATTTATTCTTTTTGGCATACTGCAAGACAGATGTGTAGTATTCTACCTATTTTTAGTGTAGCTTTTCACAAAGTCACTGTTTTTTAAGGTTGTATTCTTGTTAACCAAGCTTAACTCAAAACTACACAGACAAGAAAATCAACTTGGATCCCAGACTGAAAAGAAAGTAACTTAATTCCTCAAGACACACACTACATGTGTTTATGATAGACAACCAACAATTGGTGTTGAGAGCTGCACCAAGACGTGGTAGAGTCAATATATATCTTAGCTTGTGCTTCAAAACATATACGTGTGCTTGGACTTGGTATATATTGGGTTCCATGTAGGCTCCACATTAGCCTCCACCAACCCAATCTCCTTCATCGGGGGTCCACTGAGAAGACAAGTCTGGGGATTCTGATCCTTCCTTCTGCCTGAAGCTAGATTGGTAACTGAGACAAATTTCTCAAATTCTGTATCAAGTCAGTGAACCTGCATCTTTTGCCTACTGAATCATCATGTTTGTTCTAGAAAGTTTGCAATATATGGTATTGAACTTTAACATAAAATTTAGTATTGCAGTTCAGAACTTGCAGGAAAGCAGCATATGCTTAACTATTAATTTTTCACACTTGACAAGTCTATTACACTGATGAAAAGTAGCTTTCCATAAAGTCAGCCTTTGAATTATTTTTTTGGTAATACAGTACAGTTGAGGTTGTTTTAGCCTTGCAAATATTTATTAGTCAGTTTGGTTTCAGAAGTGACTTCAATAATGCGTGTATATTTACTTTGCTTAAATGTAAAAATTCAATTTTTTGCCAAAGTTGATAAAATGGATTTTTAATTATTGTCTACATAAATTCTTACATCGGGGTTGCTTAAACCTTAATATTTACCTTGTAAATAAAAATGCACGCTTGAAATTCAGTATTGGGTAGAAAATATTCGTAGTCAGTTAATCGCTTAAAGAGGTAAGGAAGATGAGACATTATGCTTGCTGCTTTCCCCTCTACATGCACTAATGGTTCTTGCTATTAAACTCATTGCTAGGCCTGTTCATTCTAATCTTGAGCATTTTTTTTATTAGTTTACATGTTAAGTGCATCACAGTCTATGCTTGTGCTCATTTTGTAAATTTACTAACCTCACTGTTCCATTTTTAGTTAATAATGGCTGCATGCTGGTTATAAACCCAATCAAGTCTAGCCTGGATTTTGCTATGAACGTGTTTGGTTTCTAGTGGTGGGACAGATTTTGCACTTACAATCTATATAGAAAAAGCCTGACACACAATATCAAATTTTAAAAATAGTTCAGTTGTGTCTGTTTGCAAATTGGTTCTGTCAAGGTGACGGATATGGTTTTAAAAGAGCTTGGTTGTATCAGTTTTGTATCAGATTTCAGTTCTTTATTTATTTTCTTTACCACCTTTTTTTGTTAAGTGTTGTGCACTAAAGATACACAGCACACCATCAGAAAATACCAAATTGTGTGAGCAGTATTTGACATTGTTTTTACTTAGGATGTCTATCTACCCCTTCCCATTAGCAACTTGCATGTTTATCCATTATACAACAAGACATTAATGTAAACTGGAAGGGTATTTGTATTATTGGAGTATTTTTGGTCTATTTTCTGTTCTGTCTATCAGGACAACATTGGACACCGTTTGCTTCAGAAGCATGGGTGGAAGCTTGGCCAAGGTCTGGGAAAGTCTCTCCAGGGTAAGTTAAGAACCGTCATGAAGTAACAGTAAACACTTTCTAGACTGATGATTTTTTTCTGACTATGTCTACAAAAAGTACAACAAAATAATTATTTTCCGTCTACAGTTTAATGTAGAAATGTTATATTTCTGTACCATAATGTCTGTCTGTAGTAGCCTCTTTTTAATTTCAACTTGTTCTTGCAACATTCTTATAGACTTATTTCAGTTCTCAGGATGTTGAATGAATTGGATTTTTGTAGTTACACTGATGATTAGACTGTAACTTCTTTTCCAGCATAATTTTTGTATCTTAATGATGATATACAGTGCAGCCAATTTATACTGTGCAGCCTACCCTGCTTATAGCTCGGATGTCCTGTGAACCCACTCTAACTGGAAGCATGCATGGTACACTATCATGTCCAGCATTGACCAATCTTACATATTACAATACTGATTTCTACTATGCTAAAATATGATTTCTGGTAATCAGGTTGAGGTTACTTCCTGCTTGTATGCATGTGGTCTGTGTGCAGCAAGATTAGCTGTTTTCCTACACCTGCAGGAAGTGACATTACAGCTATCTGCCCATTGCAAGCAATGCACATGAAGTGATGTAAGCCGTGAAATAATAACCGGAAATTGGCTGGTGCTTTTGCTTGTGGTGTCCAGCTAATGGCACTTCTTAAGAGGATTGCCGTATATATCTAGCATGGTGCAATTCAACTGCAACTTAAAATCTTGAAGCACTGATTTTCCCTACTCTGTCGTACAGGCGAGCACTGAACTTTCAAAGAGTTGGAATTAGATTTTAAAAGAGTATTTGGTTAATACCTTAATTTAAAAAAAGTGATGTTTTGTGGTGCTTTCCCTTTAATTGTTCTTCTCCGTGATTGGTTTAATTTCAGTTCATATGACTTGTGGTTATTCAGCTTCTTGAAGAAATTATTTGACGTTAATAATTTTATGTTAATAAACCCTGTATGCAAATGTAGCTGTGCTTACATAATCACTGACTGGCATGACAGTTGCCCCACCTGTTTTTTTTCCTCCATGCACAACATAGAGAAATATTTTAGTATTTTCAGGCCATGTAAGACAGATATATTTTTAAAGATGATGTGAGTTCAGATTCATCAATGTTTCAACCAAGAGCCTAGCAATTTCCTCAGCTGCCTCAGTTAGTGTAGGCAACAGGTTCCAGCCCAAACCTTTTTAACAGGTTGAATCTGAGATGACATATAGGAAAAGGAAATTTATGAAGATTTGTTAGATTGACTGCTTTAAAGGATGCCTGCTTTTACCTCTATCCTTTTATCCGCGTTGGTGGGTGGGGGGGGGCGGAGATAAGCAGCGTCTCCTTGGATCTGAGCTGCCTCCGAGGTGATGTGTTTGGCAACTTAATATCGGAATGAGTCAATCCTCTGTCGTGGTCTTGGTTGTCCAGATCCTGAGTCACACAAGTCTAACACTAATCACAGACCAGCCATGCTGGCTTCTCAGCGGGACCTGGAGTGGACACACCAATCACTGGGACTCATTCAGCTCCTGTTAATCCTGAAAGCCAAAGCCCTAACAATGGTTCCAGAAAGCATCTAGACAAGCAGCAGGAAGTTTGCCAGACAGTGTTCCTTTGGATGAGTCATTGAACCAAGGTCCCACCTGCCTATACAGGGGAATGTTAAAGGTCCCACTGTACTATTGCCGTGTCGCTTTTCCTCCTGACATAAAAGGTGTTCTATCAAATGCAAAGATGATGTCAAATGACCAACTGTCGATTGTCTTTGTTGAGGAATGTCGATATGCAGGTTAACAAGGCCCAGGTGTTGGCGACTCCAGAGTGTACTGGCTTAGGCGACTTGGAGGGGCAGAGCAGTTGCTTGGAGCAGGAATACTTCCCACTTAGCTTTTGAAAACTCCGCAAGTCAAAGCCTTAACGGGTAGGCTGCTCCGGAGTTGAATAAGTAACAGGAAGCTTGTCAAACAGTGATCTCAAAGATAAGCTATGTGGTCTTAGCTGGGTCCCTATCTCTTGCCAATCTGTGCCCAATATTCTTCTTGATTCAGTAAGAAGAGTGCATCCCCACGGGGAGAGAGTATGCATTCCATTCCAGATGCACAGAAATTTCCATGTATAGGTAGGTCCTTTAGAATGCTTCTGTTACAATCCTGCATACATCCTTGAATAATGGTTTAATACTGTCTCTAGTATTTCAGGTTGAGTGCAGATGGCTAATCTAAACCTAGAATAACATTTCTCGGTGGAAACCATTGATGAAGTACAGGCAGCGATTTTGAACAGCCAGGCATTCAGCAAAACAAAATGGCTGCCACCATCAGACTAAGAGCAGAGTTTGGATACTCTTTAAGCATGATGATCGTTTCTGCATGTGTCAAAACACCCAAAAAATTCTTCCTTTACCTTGCAATTGGACTCATTTTCTAACGTATCTAAGGTTTAATTTTGAATGTTGCAGCTTTTATGTACAGTATTCACTTCATCCTCTTGTCATTTGTTACCATGGTTATTGATATGCATATTATGTGTTGCACCTGTTGACTCAATATATCCAATAGTCATGGATTCAGATTTTTGGGAACAGGACTACAGGTCTTCTCATGCTTAAATGACAGACATAACAGATCTCTTTGTCAGATAATAGAATATCAGTTTAGGATGCTCTTGCAACTTTCTAAGAACTGCCATTTATGCAAAATCTTAAAATGGTCCATTACATAACTACAGAGTTTTCAGACCTTTTCAGATTCAGAACTCCCTAGCCTCAGAGGTCTAAAGTCTTCAAGGGCCCAGTAGTAAAAAGTAAACAGCTTGTTCAGATATTCTGATGTTGAACAGTTCAGTGCCTCTCTATCTTGTTGCACATAGGAATGTTCTTTTATCAGGCAAGATGATCCATCTGCTTTGACAGCCTGACTAGTGAGAAGGGATGTCTGTTCCACTAATGAATAAATAACACTCAAGATAGTATATGTTCTTTTTATATCCAGGAAATCTTCATAACAAAACATGAACTGTAAGTGGAAGAAATGTGTCCAGTAGTATTTCCTCCAAATAAGCCCTCTCATGGTGTTTTTATAGATTGCTTAAAATACCATATTAATCTGAAGGCCTTTTTGAGAATCCATGACTATTGGATATATTGAGTCAATGCTCTTTAGTCTTTAAATTCAAGAAGATGATTTGGAAAATAAGCTTTGGTGTCAAATTGGAGCTAAATATAATAATTTGAACCTTTTTGTCACAAGGTCTGTTTTCCTGCTGGCTATTTTTTCAACTTCCTTGTGTCTATGCTTTCAGCAGACTTGCTAATGAAGTATAGTGATTTAGTTGGTAGCAATCTCGCTTTCGAGTTCAAACCCCATTAAGTTTGAGCAGAGCTAGACTGTAATGTAGTGCATCTCTTTGGATGAGATGTTAAACCTTGCTTGTTCAAGTGGAAGTTCAGGATCCTGATACAACTTAAAAAGAGAAGGGGGTTTCTCCCAGTGTAATGGTCATCTTCAAAAACTTATGAATCCATCTGTTGTGGATTATCTTTGCATTAAAACTAAGCCATGTTTAAGAGAAGTTCAAATCCCGCACTGTATATATTCTGTAAGTTGCAGGCCAAATGGAAAAGCCTTGCCCACAAAACCCAGAGATTAATGATTTTACTCTCTTTTTTTATCTTTGTAATCATGCAAGAAAGTTGCAACAAATGTACCCATGCTGGTAAGTGTTTCTAGGTGTTTAAAAAATAGGTTTATTTAGTTAATAGCTAAGAATCAGGTAAGTCTTTTTTTAAAATCTTAATCCACTTTAAACCACAATGTTCCAACAACTGCTAAAAATAATGAGATTCTGTGCTTTAATATTGGCTTGTGTGCATGTCGTTGTGGGTGCACTGTTCTTTAAGGAATCACAATCATTATTGGCATTACAACAATATAAGGATTTCTTTACTTGAACTTGAGAAGAAGTTTATTTGTGTTTGCATTAAGCATAATCTAGGTTCTGTTGTAAAAGCAAAAATTATATTCAGGTAAGATATAAAGGGGTTGCATATTAACTGTTGCAGATCTCTTCTATTGCATCCCATGAATAACCTTCTTGAAATGCATGCTATTTCTTGTACTCTGCTAAAGATTTGACTAAACACTTCTACATTGTCGTTTTTACTTTTTAGATTATGTTTGCTTTGTGGTGTTTTTTCCACTTTAATTCACTTTTGTCTGTGATTAACGTTGATTATTCCTAGTTACTTAACACTTGTGTTTAAAAATCTGAATTCAATTGCGCCTATATACTGAGACGGACTTGTTTTTCCACTTCAAAGGGCATTGAGATCAAACTAGGAGAGCAGTGTTATTGATTATTCTCCCATCATCTTTGAGATCATGGTTGGTATACAGTATTGACAAGTGGGATGAAGTTAAATAATAAATACTTGTGTTTGAATCTTTGCAAAGTTGTTTATCTATTGCATTGCCAGAAATAACTTGGGCATATACTTTTCCTTCAAAACTATTATTTTGCAAAAACGAAAATCAGAAATGTGTTTACTGTGTGGGTAGGATTCTAGGTGATATGGATTTGGGGATTGTCAGTTGAGTTTCCAATGAACGTGAGCCTGCAGCAGAAACGATCCTTGAAACTAGTAGTCTTCTTTTCAAAAATCCTCACTGATGAAAAGAACAAACATAAATTTTTCTGTGCATTGAAACAAACACATTTGGCACAAATAATTATTCTATCTCAAAGTAAGTCAAGAAGCTAGTTGACACTGTTAACCAGTGTCTGAACATTCAGACTAAGCTTCACGTCTGCAATTGTGAATTAATGAATTAATTAGTGACTTAATTTCTAGACTGTCAGTGTGAAGCAGGGATATGAGAGGGAAGGAAGCAAAGGCATTCATATGTGTCCTAGCATTTAATTTCAGTACTACATTGCCAGAAATTGACAAGTAGGTTGGCAGTTATTCCGTTTGGCCTGGGAATGATGCAAGGGGGAAAAAAAGGGACAATGGAAATGTGCTTAGGTACAGAATCATGGAACCTGACTAATTGCCATATAAAAAGTTAACCAGTGTGATTGTGATCTCAATATCTTCAATTAAGATTGGCTTACTTTTCTCGCTCACAATATTGAACTAATTTCAGTCCTTGAGTCATTCACTATCCAAATCGTACTGAGTTGCAGTGCTGTAATGTGGGCTCAATATCAAGGGGAGTACTGAAGGAAGGATTAGTTGAACCATCCCAATAACATTGGATGTGATTGGAGTAGGACGTAATTAGTTAGTTGACTGCACTTGCACCAATTTGAACATTGAATTATGTCTCTTTTACATCTATAGAGCAGATTATCTTATACATCATTAATAGCTAATCAAAATAACTTGATATATAGTAGAAATCGGTGTTATAATGTTTAAGGCTGTAAAAATAACTTGTACAAACAATTTGAGTCTGCTCTGCTATTTTATTAGTTCATGATACATTTGGTATTTCCCTGCTTTTACTCCATACTGTCCAAGTACCTAAATTTCTCTTAAACATCTCAATTAATTCGGTGTTAATGGCCTTCTGGGGCAAGGCTTTTTGCATTTTCAACCCTTTGTGCATTTTCTCAATTGACTGGTTAGCTAAAAGAATTTTGAGATTGTGCTCCTTGTTTTGGAATCTTCTCTGAGCTGTTTTCTATCCACTTCCTTCATTATTTTAAAGACTGTTAGGTCACTCTTCTTTAGTTGGATGTTTGATGTATGTGGAAACCCATTACCATGCTTAAAAGTATCCAAACCAAGTTGCTGAGGTCACTCCTTGGCTTCCTCATCTCTAGGAAGTCTAACGTACGTTTACCCAGGTTCTAGTCAGAGACACATCTTGTTTCGGTTAAAAAATTTAAAAGGATAAAATAGCAGTACTCCTTCCTATTTACCCATATTTTTTTTCATTTAGAGCACAGGATAGTGGTAATTTCTCATCCACTTGCCGAATAATCCTGTTTCCTGGATAACATGCACATCTTAAACACAATAGACCTAATTTTATCCTGCTACAAAAAAATTGCACGGAAGTGAGGAATAAAATCAGTATTTTATTACTTAGTTGTCAGAAAATTATTTTTTATTACATTTTATTTTTATCAATTTAGTATGTCTTCTTTTCTAATCTTTGCCTCACTGGCCTAAGCTTTACTGCGCCTCCCCTTGATGTAGTGTGGTACTATGGGTGCTGGTTGCCTTCTGGTTTCCTACTGACGTGCTCAGTATTTATGTGGATCCTCGGCAATGAGAAGCAGCAGCCCACTTTATTGTAGAGGGCAGTTACAGATGAGCTATAGTGCCCCCCCACCCGCGGGCCATACAAGTCACCACCAGTAGAAGGTGCTGAAGATCAACCAGGAACAGAAAGTAAGGCTGAATTTCCCTTTCCTTAGCACTCCCGGGTAACTCTGGTTGAGACCAGCAAACTCAGCACGGACCATGGTTCAATTTGAACCATCAAGATGCTGGTCTGTATGCTGTAAGCTGCAGCTCTCGGCTTCATCATCAGGGCTGCTGACACTTAAACCTTTTGAAACCTTCAACTGTGAGGAAAAACTAAATGTCCTGAATGCATTATAGGTTTAAGAACAGGGCTGATTCTACGTTGTCTGGTATTGCATCATTTCTAAAGGAAAATATTTCTATGTATAGAAATGCTGTGTCCTTCCTTGAGTTGGAATGTTTGCAAAAGAGTGATAGCTTGGCATTTTGAATATATTTGAAAGTTGTATCAATGTCTGATAAATGAACAAAATGTCTGAGCATCTGAATAGTCACATTTTGAGAATGCAGTCCTAAAAGTACACAATAGCTCATCAAAATTCATAACCAGGTCGAAGGACGTTGAGATTGCCATTGATGAAGTTGATGTCAGCTATTCTATAAGTATACCAATTGATTATTACTTCCATACTATGAAAGGAAAAGCAAATGTGGTGTGGGTGTAGTAACAAGGACAATATTTTCTTTTTTAAAGCCATAATCCTGCTATACGCCAAGCGAAGCTGCTCCCTGACTTCAGTAATGCCTTATGCTCAACTCTTATGCTAAACAAGGCTTATTTCTTCATTGTTCCCACCTAACAAGTGGTATTTCTTTTTTACAGCATTTTGATCCTGGAGATGTTGTGGTGATGGTAAACTTAGCAGTGGTAATTTTCTTTCAGACTGAATTCCTATCCCTCTTTGTCATCAGTGCACCAATATGAAAGGCTTATTTTCCTTCTCTGTTTAGCCTTCATTCTGCTGCTTGAAATTCATTACCTTTTTTTCTTAGTAAATTTTTTTAAAATGCATCTGTCCTAAGTGGTGTTTGTTGTCCATTAGGGGTTAAATACTGAGAAGAGACTTTGCTGGTTGTGTTTTTTTTTTAAAAAACTTCCAATCAGTTCAATTTGAACCTGTAGTATTGTCCAAGAGTTGATTTACCCATTTCCTGGGCACTCGCACTTACTATTGCAAATAAGCTATAAATGTAAAACATTTAGTGTTACTAATATATTTGTATAAGAGATATATCTCATTGATCTGTACAATAATCTGGTCAGAGTCCCTTCACAATGGACCCAAATATGTTATACAAGTCAATGGCTTTTATAACACCATGTTTTTGTAATCATTGTTGTGTACAGATTAAGACTGTACCCAGTGTCAGTCAATAAGCTATTTTGTGAATTGGCCAGTACCCACAAAGTCAGTAACACTTATTTCGACAAGTTATTAAATCTTGCAAATTTATTTTTTTGTAATTGGAATTGAAAAATGTTGCTATCCAGAAATCAGTTTATTTCTCTAAACTAGTTCAGCATCTGAGGTAATCAATCTGTTAAGTTCTAGTTTAGCAAAAAAAATGTTAAATATACTTTGAGATGTAGTAGTGAAGTGCTAGGCTGCCCCCATTTGCTGGCTTGTTTGGCTGGTTATGAGTGGTTTAAAGATTTGTATGATTCAAACACAGTTTATTAGTACTTTTGAAAGTTTAGTTTCCTTTGCAAAAAGTCCTTTTCATGGCTTACAGACTCCTGCATCAGTTTGGTCTAAAATCTGAAAGTTTTTCAACCCGTTGTAAGTTTATTTTTTAATTTACTCCATCTATAAATTGGCTATGACTGGTGTAAATTTGAAGGATTTATTTTAATTTCTGGACAGCAAGGACTGAAGTTTGGAAGCATTTTACTTTCAAACTCTTTTGACCTTAAACCCTGAATGCATGGAGGAATTGTACATGCCCAGCACCTTCTATGCCCTACCTTACCAAATGTGTATGAAGTGCAGCCTCTGGTGGTGGAATATGTAAAGAATCATAAGATTTCTATTTATTTTACTTGGATATGATCTGGCCAACGTTCAGAAGTAAAATACTATTTGTCTTAAATCTGCATCTTTTGGTTGGACTTAGATCTATAACTGTCTTAATTGGTCAATATTTTTATAAACTTACCTGTTTTATTGTTTAATCATTAAATAGTGGCAGATAAAGGTCTACTTTGTTTCCCTCTCTACTCTTGCAATATAGTTTTCAATTGCATTTCCTACTAATTCTTCACAGAATTACAATATATACGGATAAATGCATTTTATTTTCATGTGTCCTGTTCACCAGGGAATAAATTTATCAACTGTATTAAATCATGAGGAACGTGATTTAATTTGCCACTTTTTGTTCATCTACAATTTATATATTGAAAATTGTGATTCTACAAGAATATTAAAATTGTAGAATTAATAACCTTTAGTGGTAATTTTTTTTAACGATTTATTATGCAAAATATTGGTTATTAATTGCAAGTAAACATCCTGAAGGAAATCAGTGTTCTTTTAAACATTGTGTATGATGCACACATCAGTGCACATCAGTAGATAAGCTGAAGGGAGCCAGCCTTGATCAACTATAACACAATTCCCACTTTTCACTCTTCCAGCAAGCATATTGATTTGGACAGCCTTGACTATTAAGCTGATTAAATTGTTCTGTAATAAAGTTTACACAATCTGGAGGGGAACCTTAATTTTGGTTCCGAAACGATGAGGGTAACTTGTGAATGCCAGTTGTAGTCTTCTGACTTTAAAATTAAATGAATATTCCTTTCAAACCAAGAATCTGTGTCCAGGGATCATTGCCAGGGTTATGTCAAATCTTTACAATACTACGGCTTGCTTGGCTAAATTACTTGTATTCTAATATCTTATTGTTCCTACTCCAGATTGATATAATGCATATGAAGTTGCTTCCCGAACTGGCCAATCCCCAAAATGCACTCGGTAGAATCTAAATACCTTTTCAATACTTTGCTTGATTAAAAAGTCATGCAATTAAACTCTCTTGTTGTCTAACTATGGCTTTATTGTAGCATTTTTAATTGTTTCGTAAAATATTAACCTGCCAAAGATTATCACAGCATTCATTATAAATAGTCCTTGCATTTGATATAATGCTTTCATTTGATATAATGCCTTTCACGTCGGGTGGACGCCTCACTGCACTTCACCTTCATTGCAACCGATTCAGCTTCTGTTTTTAGCATGAAGTTTTTAGTGGAAAAGTTCAGTATCAAAAGAGTAGAGACAAATAGATCATTCAAATTATTTCAATTTAAAATATTAAGATTTACTGTACTGAGAGACTGCACCTGCACATTATCTAATCTTCACTAACATCCAAAAATCTGTAATGAGTGCTATTAAACTCTAAGCTGTGAGAACGGCTTTTGTTTGGTTCACTGTAGCTTTCTGGCCTCTGCACTCCAAGGCAAGATCTTTACCCACCAGATCCACTGAGCAAGTAATTTGAAACTGGCTTTGACACTTTTCTATAACTCTCATTTCCTGTTTTAGGAAGGACCGATCCCATTCCAATCGTTGTCAAGTATGACGTCATGGGTATGGGCAGGATGGAAATGGAGGTAAGAATCGATCTATTGATAACTCAAATTAAGTATTCTGCTTGAGTATGAAGTATTCAGTTTCTCCTTGGAGAGAGTACTCCCTCCATAACAGACAAAGGGAAATGTCCATACACACTTGGAACTCTCAGGAGTTTGGTTTCCACACGCATCTTACGACCAAAAAATGTCTTACTGAATATATTTTCTTTGGCTTACATTAAAAAATTCTTAGCCCTATATAGCATGAATGTATGATTTTTCTCTCCTAAGCTTGATTATGCAGATGATGCTACAGAACGACGCCGTGTTATGGAGGTGGAGAAGCAGGACACAGAAGAACTTCGACAAAAGTATAAGGTATGAACCCTGTTTAGTTTATAGGACTTAATTACATGATTGTTTGCTTGCACAGCTACAACAAGATTTTGATACCTAAATTAAGAAAAAAAATTTGATTAGTGAAGCCATAAATAATGCTTTCATACAGTATACTTTGTGCCTCCTTCTGATAGGCATGTAACTCACAATGCATAATACCCATTGTTTATTCCCCCCAAAGTTTTGTTTCTGTAATTTTATATAATTCTGCGTAATTGTAATGTACAAATGATTTAATTCAAATAAGTTCACTTATTTTGAGCTCATGCCACCTATAGGGCAAAGCCACTGAAATCTGGGCTAACATTATGAATGATTTAGGACCATGAGAATACCTACATGTACTGGATATGAGGGCATAAAAACTGTTTCTTGGATGAAGCGGCAGCTTGCTTATACGTTAGAGCTATGGAGAGGTTGCCATGTAGGGTCACAAGGATGATTCTGGAGAGGAAAGGATATTGCAAATGATCATAAGATTTGTTTGGATGCAAAAGATTATTTGACCGATCCAATCTCATCCCTTCAGAACAAGTATCCTACTGTCACCCCATTACAGCATGAAGCTGCTTTTTAAATAATAACAATATATATATAATATGTAATATGAGTCCAATATTCTGACCTCTACCACCTTTCTTGGTTTAATGCCTCATGCGAAGGACAGGTGATTGATGTAACCAGTATTGCCTTTGTAGACATATTCCTTCTGTCCAGTTGCATTTAAATATTAGTACACAGGATGTAAGCATTCTACAGTGATATATATTGATGTTTGTCTCTTGCAGGATTTTGCTGAAAAGGAGAAAGCAATTGCAAAAGCTTTGGAAGACCTGAGAGCAAATTTTTACTGTGAATTATGTGATAAACAGTATCAAAAACATCTTGAATTTGACAACCACATCAATTCTTATGACCACGCTCATAAGCAGGTGAGGCAAAATAAATATTGTATTTGAGTGGTTAGATTATATTTTAGTGTCTTGTCACTTTGATTTAGTAAGATTCATATGCATTTTATGAGTAAAGGAGGTTTGTATTTCATGGGAAGTACAGTACAACATTTTCCAAGTGTGAAGTTTTCTTTCAAGACTGAAGAGTCCCCATCTTGTCTAATATAAACTCACAGCTCAATACTCCTCTGTTTTCCTCTGCACTGCCTCTAGTGCCTAGGTAGAAAGCACTCTTGTGTTACAGCAACCAGAACTATATGCATTACAATATATTCTGCCCAACCATAGCATAATACAGCTTGAGTATAATGTCTCAACTGATTTGGCAATATTATTACCAGTGCAGTATCGTTCGCTCTCCTCATTGTCTGAGTGGTATTTTCAGTCACATAGTACACCAATTCATCAAAACCTTAGAATCCTGCATTACTCCGCATAATGAGGTAACTGGATATCCATTTAAATGTGCTGTCCATTTAATTTTTTAACAGTGTAATTGTCTGAAACCAAAATATTATTTTCTGTCAGGTGTCTGGATAATATAGTGGAGTGTTACCAGTCATTCAAGTGCTAATTTCAGAATCCCAACACCAATTTTCTAGTATTTGGCACCTTCTGTTGTCAAACACAGTTCACATTATTTTTTCCCCCCAGTTGACAGCCTTTTACAAACCTGAGATTAAATCAGAACAATGTTCTCCACAAGAATAGGGTATATTTTAAACTTACTGTGCCCTAATATTTCTGACGTGACTAATAGTAATGACTTAGAATACAGGTTTGCGTATGAGAATAGTGTCAACGGAGATCTTTAACCTGAACTGGTTTTGTTATGTTAATTAGAACTTCTGAATATCAGATTTCAGCATTTACAGCTCGATTCTGCAAAGTTCAAAAATAGTAAAGCAAGCTTTTTTTTTAAAAGTGTTAAAATGCTTGTCTCCAGTACAGTTCTGTCATCAAAATCATTATAAACGGTTCAAACAAAAGCTAATAAAATGGCATAGTTATACTGTATAAAATCACTTAGTGCCACTACGTTAGTCATGATTAAACAGAAATCAAATGTATGAAATATTAATTCAATTAAATGTAATGACCCAGTTTTAATGACCCTCATATCACTTATACTTATACAACTTATAAAACTTATACACTATAAACATGTACAACTTGCTTCAGCTTGAATTTGTAGTCTCTAAGCGCGTTGCTTGAAATAAATTGAGAAATTGCAGTTTTTGAGGTTGAGGTGGTGTGATGTGCTTTTTCCATGCCTCTATCCACACGTAGGAATTTAGACCCGGAATGTTGACCAGCATTGTGTCGAATTCAATGCTTCCCCACTTTGCTTGCATAGTGCAGGTAAATGCAATCAAGTTTGTTGTGATAAGAATCTATTTTTCTGCGTAAAGGTTTCTAGATATTATTCAGTGTCAGTCCAAATGCATTATTATCTCTAGTCAAAGAGGATCTGGTTTGACTGCCTAAAAATGAAGCATGTAGCCAGCCACTCCTTGCAATAATGCATTGCTCGGAGAGACTTGTGAGTGCTTGTTATTTGATGCATATTTTCCCCACCCCAGCCCTACTCTTGTTGTATTTTTTACTTTTTTTTGTGGTGTGACATTTTCAGCTGATGTATTGAGAGCAAACGCTGTATTTCGGAGTCCAAATAATACGAGTGAGTCTTTATAATTAGTGCCTGTAGCTATTCTTTGTATGTCTCCTATTTTGTCAAAGCTGCATCATTTAGTGCACAAGTGCTTCATGCAATTTTGTAGTATTGTTTCATGTGTTGCTATCCTGTAAAGTTCTCTTGTAAAAAGCATTGTTCAATGCTGTGGGATTTTTATTTTTATTTGATTAAAACTGTTAGCGCAAAGTATAGTGTCTTGTTTTTGACTTGTGTTTGCAAATTAGGTTGTAAATTACTGAGAAGGCAACAACCAATCCGGGTGTTTTATTATCAGGCTTTTTTTCTGAATGAGAAAAGGCTTGAAATGTCAAAACAAAAGTCAGAAAGCAAAATAGCCTTTGCTGGCATTTTGAGAATTGTGGTTCCATTTGGGGGAAATTTATTCACAATTTTACTTGTAAAATATAAATTGCAATCAGTGAAGTGACTTCCAGTTTGTAAATCCCATACTTTAGACTTCCAATTTCATTTTTGTTGAATCCCGGCCTTATGCACCTTTTAGATGCAGAAAGCTAACCGAGCATTCTTTTCTGTATTTACTAATAAAATATGGGTGTGATGTATGGTTGAAGAGATTTTTTATAAATTCTGCAGTGTTCTGACTTTTAGTTTTGCTTCATATTAGGTGAATCGCAGAAATGCTCACACAAGGCCTTTTTGTCCATCTGTGTTGCTAATAGCTCCTCCACCAGAGCAATTTTCCCTAATCTGAAATCCCTAGTTATTGTCTGTACCATTTAACAATTGTTTCCCAAACATGTTCAATTCCTTTTTGAATAATTTGATCATGATGTCAGCTTCAACAACCATTTGGTAATTTGTAGTAGGGCATCCACATTCGAGCAACGTTTTGTAAAATAATTTTTCTATTTAGCCCTTTTATTCTCAAGGTAATCCTCAATTCATGCCCTCTTATTCTGGCTCGCAAATCAGGTGGAAATCTCTCTTTATTCTATGAATGATCCCTTTGTCATGTAGTATGATGTCTGTGCTTGATTTGATTTGACCTATTACTACTTGCCCTTTGCCCACTTGCACCATTCTCATTTTTTCCCCTTCTTTGGTTTAGTTTCCATTTTAAATATTTTTTCCAGTCTCATCTTTTTCTCTATTCTGCTAAGAAAATCATATCAAACCCAACCCATGTTTGTACCTTATTTCTTACTCTTTGCATTCACTGCCCATTTAGGAGATCAGAACACATTCACAATAATTGGAAAGCTGCTAATAAAGCAGTAAACACTCCAGACATTTATTTCAAGTCATATTTTTTGCCACAAATTCGAGAAATTAAATCTATTGAACTAATAACATCTCTAGATTATGGAAAATGGTAGTACTGTAGCTTAGTGGTTAGAGCAATCGCCTCGCAAACGAGAGGACCTGACTTTGATTCCTGAGCCAGGTGAAACTTTGGGCAACTTTCTTTCCTTACACCAAACGCCTCTGTTACCTAGCAGTAAGTAGGAACCTGGTTGTTGGTCGATTGGCGGATCGCTCTTCCAGGAGTATTAATCCCTTTTTTTAAAAAAATCATAATTTGGTCACTCAATCCACGGCTGTTCGTGGGACAGTGTTGTAAACAATTGGCTGCTGTGTTCCACCCAAAAATATACAGTCAATTCACTTTACAGTATATTCTGTGTAGAGCTTTCAAACATCCAGAAGGCGTGATAAGGCGCTATATCAAATACAGGGATTATTATTATAAATGTAATTCAGCCTTACCTGTTATGTCTGAGTACCAAGAGAAAGCCAGCCAAAAAGTTAATTGTAATCAATACATTCATTAAAGGTTAGTGCCCTCTACTATCACCAGTTCAAACTCAATCCAATGACTAGTCAACGTAATCTTACTGATTTTAGAGTGATTTTTAAAAATGAAAACTTGTAAAGATTTATCACAAACTTCACTTGGCTAAAACATGAAGGAACAGATCCTTCCAACTCCAGATAACTGGAAATTGGATTGGAGTCAGTTTTTCACTATCTTCAGGTTGAGAAAAGGTCCACTTTCTCTTTTTCTTTCTCCTACTCTTTAACGGCTTTACTGTGAATCGTCTTGATGCCTTTCTTTCATAGGTTTGGTTTGTAGTTCTCTTGCCAAATTGTTGCTTTACCAGGTTTGAATGACGCTGTTCTCTGTTGTACTGCTCTTCGCAACACAAGTTTTTTTTTTACTCGTCCCCATGTGGACGTCAACGGACAAACGTAAAATGAGATAACCTTCCATCGTTATGTTGCAATGAAAATACCACTCTGCTGTTAAGTGATACTGTTTCCATGCTGGTAAAATCTAAATCGTTTCAAACTCAAATTTTATCCAAATTAAACTATATACTGAAGGCAGGATGGTTGACAGCAATGTTGGTTGAGCAAGCAGATGCTTTAAAGAAACACAATAATTTGCTTAATGTATAAAAACTGCAATTTCTGTTTTCTGATTTGTTTTCTAATTGTGAGGGTTCAAGTCTTTCATCTTCCAAGAACTCTGAAAAACTTTGATATTTTAACAAAACAAATCATTGATCAAAAAGCAAAGCAAACAACTTCCTTCAAATAACCAATAGAACAATTGAACCTTTTAGTAAATCTGTGTCGATGACTTTCATAACACTTGAGTGTCAAAATATTTTGCTTGACTAAAGGTTTCACTGCAAATAATGTAACATTCGTAAAGCAAACTAAAAAAATCCCTTGTCACTTGGACACTGCTTTTTGCCTGTTCCTTTGTAATCCTATTTGCTGTTGCTAAAGGACCATACTATTTTTCTAGTTCCGTCTTCTATGTTTAGTTTCCCCTTGTTTGTGTTTTTTTATTTCCATGATCGTGACAGTGATGGTCTTTGTTTAAGAAACGAAACATCCTTTTTTAAAAAAAAGTCTATTTTCATGGCCCAAAGTATGTCCTGTCTATTCCAGGAATAAAGCACGTCCATGTTTCTCTTTACATTAAAAGGTAAGTTTATAAGAAGCCTTCACAAAATGTAACTTAACTTCTAAATCGGTCACTAAATGGAATTTTTTGCTGGCCATGTTGAGATTCAATTATTTTGCTCATTTGTGTTGAAACAACCTCTAGAAATTAGTTCCACAATATTTTTGCTTGGACAGATAATAGCATTGTCATTTGTAAAATAGAGAAACTTATATCCAAATGTATTTTTTTTTAAATGTCTCTTAATGCTGTTTTCAGGGGAGAGAATATTAACATTTTGCTTTTGCTTTTTGCTACGACAGAGACTAAAAGACCTAAAGCAAAGAGAATTTGCTCGGAATGTGTCTTCAAAATCCCGAAAGGACGAGAAAAAGCAGGAAAGGGCACTTCGACGCCTTCACGAACTTGCAGAGCTACGGAAACAACAAGAGTGGTACGTGTTGCATTGCCCTCGGCATCTTCCATCACGTTTCACCCACAAAATATACAGTACAGTACACTGTACAGTATATTCTGTGAAGCGTTTGAGACGTTTCAAAGACATGATAAGGACCTATTTCAAATGCAAGGAATACTATTATGATTATTGAGCGTTGCAGCTCTTTCATTTTTATTTCTGGTTTGCTTGAATTCTCTTGTCAGATGGTGTTCTTCTCTACTACTGTTTGTTGAAACTGAATAGAATATCAACCGGCCATCTGCAGTATCACACTGATTTGTAACTGTTTTGTTCGCAGTGCTCCAGGAAGTGGCCCTATGTTTAAAGCTACGACTGTGGCTGTTGAAGAAGATGCTAACGATGACATGTGTGCCACCCCAAGCGACAGTATTGGAGGAAAACCTAGTGGTTCTGTGTCACCTACTGTTAACAAAATTGTACTTGATAAAGTGTCAGGAGGTAGTAGCAGAGAGGCAGTCGACAACACTGGGCACTTTGTCTGTGGAAGCCCTGCAGGAACAGCCCAGAGCAGCCAGCCTTTTAGCATTACCCTGCTTAAGAATAATTCTAGCACTCCCTTGCAAAAGCTGTCATTTTCTTTTGCAAAAAAGGTTCCAATAAAGTTGGACTCTTCAGCTTCAGTATTCAGTGACATGGGGGAGGAAATAAACGAGTCTGAAATAGAAAACACTGACGATAAAGTGTTGTCTGGTCAAGAATCACTCAAGTTGATTGAGGTTGAAACTCCAGTAACTGATGATAATAAGGTAGAAGGACTTAGTCCATCAGAAAGCGATAACGACTCTATAAACAGTACCTTATCCAAATTGAAAAAGATGATGAAGAAAGACGAGGAGGGCTGTCAGTCAGAACCTGAATATTATCATTACATTCCTCCTGCACACTGTAAAGTGAAGCCAAAGTTTCCGTTTCTACTGTTTATGAAAGCTACAGAGAGCACAGAATCCACTTGTGGTAATACGAAAAATTTTCATAGCTTTAAAAAGAGTTCTAGTTCTAGAACCGTTCTGAATCCTGAGGAAAGGAGAGGAGGAGAATGTGAGGGAGATGTTGTGCAAAGTGGTAACAATAAGCCATTGGCAGACGCGGAGCTGGATGAAGAAACACAGTCTCCGGAGACTGCAAGCAAGGAGGCTTCTAAGAGCGTGCCAACAAAGCCGATTGCTTGTGTAGAAGCAAAGCAGCAAATCAGTTTAGTAAACCCAGAAGTCCCTAATGGCCCCAAGCAGGTCAGTGATCCCTTTTTCCCAGTCTTGAGCAAAGATGAAAGTACCACTCTTCAGTGGCCTTCTGAATTGTTGATGGTTACGAAGACTGAGCCATGCGTCTCTTACAGCTGCAATCCTCTGTATTTTGAATTTAAATTGGCACGCCATAAGCAGGTTAAAAGAAAGAGCAAAGAGAACGAGGACTCGCATACACAGAGTAATCCGATTCCTACTGATCAAGATGCACAGGAAAATAAGGCTAATATAAAGGCAAGTGATACTGCCTCCAAGACTAAAATTAGTGAGGATGATATTAAGAAACCACAAGAGGAGCCTTCCCTAAGCTTAGGTAAACTTGAAGTCCAAGTCAATGAAAGGGACACAAACACGGTAAATAAAGACAAGAGTTTGAAATCACACAAGCATAAAAAGAAAAAGAAGCACAAGAAAACAAGCAAGCACTCAAAGGAGAAAGCTAATGTGGAGGGAGAGGAGCTGAAAGATGGTGCAGCGGCAGAAGGGATTTCAAAAAAAAGGAAAAAGCATAAACGCAAGAATAAAGGTGTGGATGAGAAGCAGAGCAAAGGTGCCACTCTAGAGGTGTCTAAACAGGTGGTGAAAATAGAGCCAGTGGAGGAAGGGAGCCATATACAGAAGAAAAGGCAACGATTGCAAGATGATTTCCAATGTGCAACTGTTTCTGTTGAAGAGAGCAGCAGTAGAAAGGAGGAGAGTTCAAACTTTGCTGAGGAGCCCAGTAGCAAGAAGCAAAAGACTGGTACAGTGCCACCTTGTAACGATCCAAGAAAAAGATCATCCAGCCAGAAAGATAGTCGTTCCAGGCACAGAAATCGAGGTGATGGCGGAGGCAGCAGCAGGGAAGAAGAATCTGATAGCTATGATGAATCCTGTAGGAAACGATCCAGGCAAAAATCCTCCTCTCGTTACAGTGAGGATTACGATTCGGGGAGTGACAGAAGCTACTCCAGAAGATCAAGAAGGAGGCATTCTTCCTCTCGGCATTCTTCCCGCAGGTCATATTCATCCGATTCCGATGCCTCGTCAGACGGCAGTGGATACAGTCGTAGACGAAGCTATTCTGACGATAGTTACAGTGACTCCAGCGATCGGTCGCGTCATCGATCAAAACTTTCTCATGATTCAGACGATGATTATGACTACAGAAGATCCAAACACAAAGGGAAGAAGCGTAAATACTCTTCATCAGACGATTACAGAAGCAGTCGATCCAGAAGTAACAGCAGGGGAAGAACTCGAACTAGAACGCACACAATCAGCAGGACGAGGACTAGGAGCCGGAGTAGGACTCGTAGCAGCAGTCATAGCAGGAGCCGGAGTAAAAGTAGCCGGAGCATAACGCAACGGAGCTGGAAGCGGAGCCGGAGCTACAGTAGGGATCGCAGTACCAGCGCCCGACACCGTAGTTCGCGGAGATCCAGTTCAAGAGGTAAAGGGTCACACAGCCATGATAGTTCCAGTGACAGAAGGTCCAGTCGAAGGAATTCCAGTCGGTCCTTTTCGAGAGATCGGGTATATCGTTCGAAATCCCCCCGTTATAGTAGGAGCAGACAGACGGGGAAGAGAGATGAATCTTTAAAAAAAGAAACCAAAGTGGAGAATCTGAGAACCTGCAGCACGTCTCACAACCTTCCCGGCGTTAGCGGCACAGGGAAATTGTATTTGGAGAATCAGCCGACACAGGAAGAAAGAAACTCTTTAACGGCTAAACAGCTGTTGGAAAAGATTCAGTCAAAAAAGTCTGAAAAGAAACCCGAAGTCAATAATGAGGCAATGTTAATGTCTAATAAAGTCGGGATCAAACTGAAAGATCCTCCTCAGGGTTACTTTGGCCCTAAGCTTCCACCAGCGTTGGGCAATAAGGCAATGCTTCCTTTAATTGGGAAATTGCCTACAAACAAAAAGCCGACAATAAAGAAAAACGAAGGCAGTTGCTCGGACAGAGCAGACAAGGGAGAAGATCAGTATTTGGGAGAGTCTAAAGATCTGGGAGAGGAGGAAGCTAGTAATTCACCAAATTGGACATTGCAAGAAGAGATGCCGATCGGACAAGAAAAAATAGAAAATGAAGAAATTCCAGCAGTTTCTTGTGAACCACAGTTTGAAGAAGGATTTGCTTCAGAGCCTCAAATCGCAAATACTTTCGTTTCTGACCTAAGTGCTCCGACTGAAATCATCACCGAACCTTCCGATGTAAGACTACCAGAGCCCGAGGAAGCTGTTGTGATGCATTATCCCCCACATGCAGAGCCATTCTCTAATTATATCCCTCAAGTACAAGAAAACGAAGAGGACTTCCAAGAGGACGTCAATTCATCATTAGCTCCGTTAGACAGACAGCCGATAACCTTCACACCTGAGGAAATGGAAAAATATAGTAAATTACAACAGGCAGCTCAGCAGCACATCCAGCAGCAGCTTATGGCCAAACAGGTGAAGAATTTCCCCACCTCGGCTGCCTTGGCACCTGCCCCAGCTCTGCAACAGTTTCATATCCAGCAACCAACAGCAGCTGCAACAGCAACATCGATTACCACTGTCCACCATGCTATCTTACAGCACCAGGCTGCTGCGGCTGCCGCTATCGGTATTCACCCACACGCACACCCGCACGCACAACCCCTTGCTCAAATCCACCACATACCACAGTCTCTTACACCAATCTCTCTGTCTCACCTCGCACCGTCTCTTTATCCAACTCATCCTACCACTTTTCTGACCAGCCATCCAATACATATTATACCAGCCTCTGCACTCCACCCAGGTCCCCTGGCCCTTCACCCAGTTCCACATGCACTCTATCCCGCTCTCTTTGCCCCACGCCCTGGATCAGCAGGCGCTGCCTCCGCTCTCCATCTCCATCCTTTTCTCCACCCTATTTTCTCAGGACAGGAACTGCAGCATCCTCCTAACCATGGCACTTGAGAAGCAAACTTTAACAAACAATGAAAATGGAGGTCGACACATGGCTTTGTCTCTCATCAGTCAGTCGAGTGTAAAAATACTACATAGTGAGCATTTCATACTTTTCTCCAACAGCCAAAGAGTTCAGGCTTGTTGCCCGAGAATGTGATGCAGTGTTTGTGTGCTTGTAATATCAGGGATTTCCTTTTTTTGAAAAGAAAAGAAAATTAGTTTAGTTGGTTCTGACCATCTGGATCTCCCAAAACTCAACAATACATTACCCAAAAAGACATGAGGTTAGAGATTAATTGTTAGTAACATCCATATTCAGCAGGTTGGCCCTCTCTTGCTAACTGACATCATAGTACTTGTCAATCTGACTATTCTGTAAATTCTTGTGATGTGCGTGTTGATATGCTTGTGAATGGTATTGGGGTGGTTGCGAGTACTGCAAGGATTCCAGTAATAGATGTTGAAACCATACATATAGCTTCTGATTTTATGGTTATAAAATAAAACCATAAGAGTGTGGCATGTATTGGACACTTAGTCATAAAAGTGAATGAATGGCTGCTGTGGAGATCTATGGAGACTTGAAGCTGAGAAAAATTAGAGGAGTCTTATTGCACTAATCTGTGTATTTGCTTCAACAGGTGAGTTCGTGAGTGAAAGGATGCAAATTTCATGCCCCGACATTGAAAGCATGGAGAGAATTCTTTTATAATGTCTCAATAATCACAAACATATTTCAGCTAAACTAACTTCAGTGCAGTGATAGAATTTGGAGAGATACCATAAGATCTTGAAAAGATCTTTTCATGTTTGCTGTCAAAGAAAACTTGACAGTCTTTGTACAAGTTGTAGGATGTAATTTTTTTTAAAAAATGTCTTGACAGTGGAAAGAATTGCACTGAATTCTACAAGTGACGCTGCTTTTGTAGGTTCATCTAAACAATTACATACATGTAGAGTACTCCAATATTTTTAAAGAAATTAATTTGGTTTTGTGGTATTCTAACATAGTGCTTTGTGTAAATATGTTTGTAGGTTAAACAATCCTTGTAAAGGTAGACTTCATAATTTTCTGTCTATGGCAGAAATTAAGCATGTATATTTTACCAAAACCCATGTATTTTTGAAGTTTTTATGTACTTTAAATGTATAAATTCTTGAAGTTTGGTTTATTTTGAGTTTTTTTGCATATAAAATGTATTCAGTGAAAAAGTAACTTTGCTTCCTTGGTGCTCTGGAGAATCTGGAGTCTAAAAGTTGATTGGAACAGACATGGGCTGGTCGCTGAAATCTCTGGATAAATACTAGACTTTAGATCATATTTAAAAAAAAGTCCAACCAATTAGAATAACCTGTAATTCAACATGATAAAAATCAACTTGCAGTTGTCTTTAGCTAACTAATACCATGGAGCGTTTGTGACCTTGGTAGAATAATTATTTTCCACATTTGCTGCAGTTTTAAATCCTAGCACATTCTACTAAGTAATTTAGAAGACTCAACAATGGAAAGCTGTAGTCTTGTCTTAGTTGCTGAACAATGAGAAGTTTTGGTCGCAGCCCAGCCCTTTGTTACATTCAGATTCTCCTGGTCTGTAGTGTAGGAATTGTACTAAATTGGGATGTTCTGCCTGCAACTGAGTCATGAGAATGTTACGATGGGATGTATGAAATGGCTTCATCACTATGGTTTGTCATACCAGCGAATGAATTTCAGAAGCTTTATTTGCATAATAAAATTCAACTGAATGTTTGATTGTTATGATCCAGATTAATTTACTTAATTTTTTTTTACATAGCAGCGAGCTGGTGGTGTGGGTTTAATCTACTTGTCGCTCAAATAATATCATTATGTTTGTACTCTGCAAAGTTAAAACGATATGCACATTCTGCCTGCAAAATGAAATAGACTTTTCAATTCATGTTTTCAAATTTAGATTTTGGCCATATCATAAACAGTTTATTTGGCTCAACATCATCAGTTTGGAGGAAATAGTTTCACTCTGTTAACTTAAAATCCACTGAAACCTTCTTTGTAAAGCTTTGCAATGTATTCAGTCAGAAATTTATACAGCCCTTGTATTTGTACAGCATCAAAAGCCCTTATAAAACTTACTCAGTAAGATCTCTTGAGAGCTTACTTGATTATCTAGCATTTCTAGTTGGGTAATAGAATGCAGACCAGTTTTAAAGCAAATACAACATAAAGCTTTCAGGTCAATTTAAACGCAAATTCACTTGCCCTTTTGGGAAAACTAACTTGAAAAATAAAGATTGATCTTCTGAAATTGTCATCTGCTACTAGGAATAAAGCTAGGTTGTGAATGGACAATTAATTGCAAGGTTAAAATCCTAATTCTGCAGCTACAATTTCAGTTTCAAAGCAAAGGTGATGACAAAAAAGTCATAAGACTGTTGAGTGGTACCTGCCACAGTTTCAGTGCACACCCCTCTTAATCATGATATTGGTAGATTTAATATGCCAATTAACCGAATGTCTTTCAATGAAAAGGTTTTGCGTATATTGCTGTTTCTATGCCAATTTGTCCTTTGATCTGGAGCTTCTAGATTCAATTCTGTCACCCATACACCCCAGCACCTTACAAAGCAGCTTTCTTCATCTGTTTTAACATCTGTTGTATAACAAAAGCTAGGAAGAAATGTAAGTAGCTTATTGCATAAACTGCATATTTTATTTAACTTTGTCACAAGAACATGCAGAATATTACTGTACAATAGGAGAAAACCTTTATAACAATAAAGTATGGATAATTTGTGAAATGTTGAATTTGTCTCATTTATTCTACATTTATTCATTGATTATTATTGCTAGTTTAATCACAAGAATATATGTAACATATATTATATATAGATTACGTAAATCATTAGTTAAGCTATGTTTGGACTAACGTATCCAGTTTCAGAATCCTCAATATAGGAAGGATGTCAAGGCCACAGAAAAGGCGCAGAGGATATTCACTAGGATCAAGTAAGGAATGAGAGGTTTTAGTTATGAGGAAAGATTGGAGAAACTGAGGCTGTTTTCCCTAGAATAGAGGGTTGCGAGGACACGCAGCATTTGTGGGTGAGGCAGAATCCATATCAGCTTTTAAAAGGGAATTGGATAAGTATCTGAAAATGAAACAATAGGTTGTGGAGAATGGCACTAAATGGATAGCTGTTTCGGAGAATCAGCATCGCACGATGGGCTGAATTAATTGCATCTGTTTTGCCCCACACGCTCCATTGTGTTTTGTTCAATCTGGCTGTCGATCTCCATGATGTAAGTCAATACACAATGACTGTCGACACAATACACAGCCATCTGTTATCTCGTTGTATTCTGGATTGTTACACTTAAGATAATTATTTTACTGGACATATTGGCAGATGGATCAACGTTTATATCGATAATTGAATTATAAAAAAAATTAATAATTTATAATTATAAAAAATACGGTGCCTTGTCGCATGAAAACCTCTCCCAAGTGCACTACCACAGAATTAGAATATGAGATAATGTATGGGCTGCTTTGTCGCTTTTTCAGATAGGCTGTTACTGTATATAAATAGATCTACTTCACTTAAATGGAAAGGCGATAGTCAAGTCTCTTTGCGTGACATGTTCCTGCTGTCAGATAGCATTGGGTAAGAACAACTGTCCACAATAAATAACAGCATCCTGATATACAGAATCAGTCCCTCTTCAATGTGCGTAGTCTCACACGGACAATCCACGTTACAGGATATTCTCTGAAGCGCTTTGAGACGTCTTAAAGACGTGATAAGGCGCGATATCAAATGCCAGGATTATTATTATTCTCACACAGTGTAATCCTGGCAACGTGTGTCAACATTTGAAGAAAACCAGTAAATTAAAAAAAAGGGGGATGTGGTTTTGTGTTTGATTGCTTGACTTTTAACAGTCATTAACATTTTAGCATTAATATTGCCCAGAGAGTAATCAACGGCGGGAACAGGTTGCCAGGAAGGCCGAATGAGGGCTGGACTCTGGGCTCATTTAAGAGCAGCCTGATGGTGTGATGGGAGGACAGTAGAGTGCGTGTTCCAGAGGGATGAAATCAAATGGGCTGAACGAGCTTCTTCATCCGAGCTAATCTTGTGAAATACAGTCAAACCTGTTGAAGAAACCACCTCTATTCAGCAACCACCTGCTGTCAACAACCACCCTGGAACAGTCCTGACTGATTTTCCTATAATAAACCATCTCTAATTCAGCAACTATCTATCTGACACAATCAGTGGCCACTCTTTTCTTTAGCCCCCTATTGGTTTATACGCATCCTTTTCACAGGCCAGTTCTAAGTAAATTTAAGGTGTATTTATCGGTAATGTGTTACCAATTTCTGCGGTGTAGACACCCGCTAGTCTCCTAGCACTTTTACCCACACTCAGAGCAGCCCAGGTGATGCCCTCATCTCTCTGCCTCACCGGTGAGGCCACATTGGTAAATGTGCTAGGAGTCGAGTGGGAGTCTACACACAGCGCCGCAGAAATTGTTTCAAAATATTTGGGGTCCTGTTAACGAATCCTTACTCAGAAGCCATCCTTACATAAAGGCCACTTCACTGTGCTCCAGTCCCCTGAGCAATTCCTGGAAGCAGGTCTGACTATAATTCCCCCTTTTTAAGAAAAGTATATTTATCACTCACGCCCAGATACTCACAAGTTTCCTGTTGTCAAGTCATTATACCAATGGAGAAATAGTATCACTAGAAAGCATATTAAACCACAAGGGTCCAGAAAAAGCGACTTTGTCATCGATGTAACTTCCTCCAAGTCTCTGGGGAAGTGGCTGATGATTAACTTTTTCCTTCAGTTGGGTTTTGATCTATGTTTTGAGCAGTAAATGTTCCTGGAAATGTTCTCTCCAAAAACTGTGCGAGTGGCTTCAATACCTTGTCTTTACTATTTCCTGGGTATTTTACCCTTTTCTCATTTTCTGTTCCTCCAAATCCATGCATTCAATTTGGATGCAGACAAACCAGTTATTTACTCGGGACCAGAAAGAAGCTATTTCGGGTTTTCTATCGATTTCTATTTGCCTGGTAATGGAACGTAAGTAATTTGCTGTATTTTGAGCCAGTTGATGGTAAAATTTCGCTGTGGTGTGGTAATCAGAGGCGTGTGGAGTAAGGAAATTTGCCCAACATTTTGCTCTGCCGAGAATCGAACCCAGGTCTCTCACTCGCAAGGCGAGTTATCTCGCCACTGAGCTACAGGACTCCACAGCGTCCATTGTGGAATAGCCTGACACAGTATAGTTCCGAATGTCTGTGCAGTGCTGTTGTTAATAACTGACTTCCTAAAAGCTGCTAAAAAGAACAACATATTGCTGAAGAGTTAATTGTCCTACAACTGATTATCAGAGATCAATGATAATAATCCTTGCATTTGATATAGCGCCTGATCACTTCTTCAAGACGTCTCAAAGTGCTTCACAGAAAATACTGTAATGTGTAATTTCTGTGTGTTTTGTGGGCGAAATGCAGCAGCCAAAGATATTTCAATAAGACCGTAAACAAAATTGAGTAACTGATGAAAAAGACGACGCTTATAGATAGTATAAAATTACAGATTTTTTTTTTCTTCTTCTGCTTACTGCTTCCAGTCCATATCTTGTCGTTGGGGCTCCCAAGGCACAAACAGAGCAAGTAAATGTCACTGAAGGAGGTGCGGTGTTTTTGTGCCCTTGGGCGGTTGGTGGAAGCCCTTGTGTTCTGATACCGTTTGATACCGAGGGTAAGAGAATACTTTGAGAACCGTTTCAATTTTGTGTAAATTGGTGAGACAGTGCACTCGAATATAATTCTAGATGACCGAAGGTGCAGTCAACCTTGCTTCGACCATGCTTGCAGTCACCTGCTTCCCCACCCCCCATACCCCAGCTCTGCATCAGGGTCCACCACTGTTAAGTGTTCCGAGACTCTACCTCGTGTGAAGGGCACCATATAAATCCAAGTTGTTGTTGTCAAAGGGGAGCGACAGCTTTGAAAGAGGTGAGTGAACGGGCAAAATGGCATTTCAGATGCAGTTTTGATGAAGGATTTCAGGTCTCTCTATTCTCTTGTTTTACAGCAGCAATAACTTGTATTTATATAGCTCCCCCCACACCAGGTAGTGTCTCACAGGGTTTTATTCTTGCGTTTCGGTATTTTTGCTCGTCTGCAACTGCTGGCCCCAAACCACATGAGCCACGAAAGTTCTTATGTAAAACGCCACAAAGCATATGGAAGACGAAAGCATCCTTTAATCACTTAATGCAGACAGCTTGGCAAGGTCGGTCCTACGGGTGTGTGAGCTGCATTTCTGAAGCATAATCTATCGTCACGTCTGCAACTTCCAATTAACCACTTGTATTTGTGAAAAGATAAATGATTCTCATCTGCTGATCCTGATGTTTCAATAACCTTTCTTCGCTCAGGTAACCGAAATCTTAACTTAGCTTTGGAATCTATGAAAGACTATAAATCCAACCAGTGGTTTGGTGCAACAGTCAAAGCAGATAAGGATAAATTATTGGTAAGTTGAGGTCACATCTTTCTATGTGGTTCTCTCTGTTATAGTAATAATAATAATAATAATCCTTGCATTTGGTCTAGCGCCTAATCACATCGCAAAGCGCTTCACAGAACATACTGTCAAGGAATTGACTACCTCTCTGGTTACTTCTGAAGGTTTATTTGTATTGGGTTTTAGAAGCTTCATCAAACGTTTAAACGGTGAATTCCAGATTTGATGGGCTGTGATCCAAGGTTCAATAAAAGCGTTGGTTGTTTGGAGAGATTCAGTAGCTCCTTCCCTTGTTGAAATGTAAGCATTTTTAAAATGACATTACATGCAATTAATAATAATCCCTCCAAAAAAAATTGGTTACTCAATTCACGATTGTTTGTGGGACGCTGCTCTGTGCAATCAGCTGCAAGATATACAGTCACTCCACTTTACAGTATGTTCTGTGAAGCGCTTTGAGATGTCTCAAAGACGTGACAAAGCGCTACATCAAATGCAAGGATTATTATTATTATATGTATATATATATATATAGCATTGTATGGGAATTCCCAGAGCTATCATTTTAGTAAGAATTCTTTGAGACTGTTTGTCTTTAAAAGTGGTGATGATATTAATTTAACATGTCCCTCTCATCTCAGTTCCACTTTCACTTACAAATGAGACTAACGCTTTCTATCTGTGTTCTGTCTCTAGGCTTGTGCACCCTTGTATCACTGGAAATATGTGACAAGGTACATGGTGGAGAAGACCAGTGGATTAACACCAGTTGGCACTTGTCTAATTGCACTTCAGAACTTCAGCAGCTACGCTGAGTATTCACCTTGTCGTTCCACTACCGTCGTAATAAATGAGAGCAAGCCAAGTAAAATATTCCAATATTTTCTGTATTTTACAACACAATACAACATGGCATTTGTCCCAAGGCGCTGGACAGTCAGAGATTTGGATCCGAGCTGGGGGGTCGGGATCGGGGAGGGCAGGGAAGGTTGGAGGATGCCCGAAGGCTCGGTTGAAAGAAGTGGAGTCCTGTAGCTCAGTGGTTAGAGCACTCGCTTTGCAAGCGAGAGACCTGAGTTCAATTCCAGGCAGAGGGCGAAACCTTGGGCAAGTTTCCTTACTCCACACAGAGCCTAATAATAATCCCTCCAAAACCAAAACCAATAATAAATTGGTCAAATTCAATCTACGACTGGTTGTGGGACATTGCTGTGCACAATTGGCTGCCGCATTCGCCCACAAATATACAGTCGATTCACTTTACAGTGTGTTCTGTGAAGCGCTTTGGGACGTCCTCCCAACGTGAAAAGCGCTATATCAAAATGCAAGGATTATTATTATATATAAGAGTTTTGAGACATGCCTTGAAGAGATGAGAGAGGGAGTGAGGTGAAGGGAATGTGGGCTGGAGTTCCATAGGGTGGGGGCAGAAAGGCTGAAGGCCCGACCGCCTTTTTTTTTACCAATATTCCAATATTATTCCAATATTATTATTATTAAATTGTAATGATTTTTATTACTATGTCTGTCATTTCTCCCACATCGGTTCTCCCTCCTGTCCTGAAGGTGCAAGCACTTTCTGGAGTGCTATTCCAAGTCGTGAGCAGAGATGTGTGAAAAGCTAAGAGCAACAGGCTATATGAATGGTGAATAGAGAGGTTGCAGAGTAGATTTAGACGGGTGAACTAGAAATGCATAGTTTGAACAATAAAACAATCCTTGTGAATACAAGACAGTTTATGAGTTGTATATGTTAAATAATTGATCAGCGATTGCCATTATTTCCCAGTACCCTCTGACCGGCGGTATTGTGAAGCAGGATGGAGCAGTGAGATAACTAAGGTAATAACAATTTGTAGGTGAGCACAGCAGCCACTTTGCACAACACCGACAACTGAATAATAATAATCCTTGCATTTGACATGGAGTAAGGAAACTATATGTATATATATATATATATGCACGTGTATAGCACAATTGTAGCCTGCCAATACTTAGGGAAGTAATATTAATGATAATAATTTGGTCACTCAATCCACGGCTGTTTGTGGGACGCTGCTGTGCGCAAATGTCTGTCACGTTTTGCCCACAACGTTTACAGTCAATTCACTTTACAGTATATTTTGTGAAGCACTTTCAGATGTCTTGAAGACATGATAAGGCACTATTTCAAATGCAAGGTTTATTATATTATTATTATTATATAACCACCTGATGAACCAGTAGCTACAGTGTGCAGATTCACACCCCAGGAAGAGTCAGTGCTTTGAAGCGAGGAGAGGAAAAGCAAGGAATTTGAGGGAAATCTTTCATCTGGATTCTCTTCTTGTTAGGATGGAGACATAGTTCTGGGAGCTCCAGTTTGCTACTTTGGGCAAGGTAAGTGAGCGTACACTGCTCGATCCACAATACAGTGCGTCACACCTTATATTCAACACAGTTCTAAAACTTTTTACAGAAGTCGCTGGGAACACTCAGCAGGTCAGGCAGCATCTATGGAGAAAGGAAAGTGTGTCAATGTTTCGGGTCCACAACCCTTCGTCGGAAATAAAACTTTTTGTTTAATTTAAAAAATTTCTAAAAAGGGTTTTTCTAGGATTTGGGCATAAATTATCTAAATTTTAATTTGCCGACATCTAAGGAATTGGGTAACACATGCTTCTCTTACACCTTTAGGTTCAGCCCCGACAGATAGGTTGAAAGACTCCTCTGTTTACTCCTCTGTTTAAGTGTAATGGCCCCATTTGCTGTGTCTACACAATTTCAACTTGAACCCCAATGGCCGTAAATCTCCAAACGGCAACAAATACCACAAACTGGCACTGCAATTACTTGCATCCTTGTTCTAAAAGGCACTGGGGTGGTTGGAAATAAAAACAGAAGTCACTGGGAACACTCAGCAGGTCAGGCAGCATCTATGATGAGAGGAAAGTGAGTTAATTTCAGGTCGATGACCTTTCGTCTAGGATTGTTGGCTTGGAAATACAGACCTTGGGGTGGAAGGAGCTTTACTTCACAAGTTGCTATTTGTGTGAAGGATAGCCAGCTATCTGAGTGGGTTACTAAAGGGTAGGTGGTAGCCAAGAAGCTTTAAATAATGGTTGATCCTTTCAGAGGAGGAGGCAGGAGGGAAGAAATTAGATTAAGGGTAGGAAGGATAAAAGAAACGGTGCAAAATAATCAGATTCTGTCTGAAATGTAAACATTTATTCCTCCAACCATTTGTTCAGGTCTGATTGCCACGACTAACATTGAACAAATTGTCCAGACTGATCAGCGCAAAAGTCCTGAGGCAATAATCAGTCAACAGAGGCAAAGTACAGATGCAAAGGGATCGAAAGATAACAGCTATGAAGGTAAGGTATGATGGGTTTTACCAAAGTTCTTCTTTGTGGAAATCTTTAGATGAAATTTTAATTTCCGTCTTAAATTTTGTGCTTTGAGACGTTTCGAAGACGTGATAAGGCGCTGCATCAAATGCAAGAATTATTATTATTATTGCCTTTAAAGTCTTATCAGAAACCCAATTTGCAAAGATTCTTTTTTTAATGACTTATTGAAAATGCAGTCCTGTTGGTGTTATTATCTGCATTAGTTCTTCCGTTGATTGTCAAAAGAATTTTGTAATCTTGTCAACTCGTCTTGTGCCTTGTGTACAGTGTAATTTGTCAGCCTAACAGAAAACATGAAGATGTGCTTTGTTAAACGCAGTTGGCTTGACAGCGATGTGTCTGAGCATCTTATCCTCATTCTGTTCTGTATGTACCTACTCCCTAGGCTATTCAATGGCACTTGGAGAATTCAGCGGGGACTCAATAGAAGGTAGAGTTCAATGTCTTTTAGCATTACTGCACGAACAGTCACGGATGTCATGTCAAATTGTTTGATTACCTGCAATTGGGCTCCCGATCAGTGCAGTAATGTCTGACCGGAGATGGTGAGTGTGGTGTGAGATATAATGGGATTGATTGGAAACTGCACACTAACTTGTTCTGATCTCTACAGAATTCCTTGTGGGAGCTCCAGGACAGAATGACACAAAAGGATCTGTATGTATTGATTACGTCTGTAACTCTCTGACCTCTTTGACCTGCTTGTACCACATTGCTCTGCTCAGCTCCTCCACTCAATTAACACATCAGCAACAGTGACTGTACCCTCAGTTGCCAGGCATCTAACCTCTGGAAATCCCTCCCTCCAATCCCAACAACATCAACAACAACAAACTTACATTTATCGAGTGCCTTTCACATCCCAAGGTGATAGACAGGCGGAGAGATTGAGGCAGAGAGTTCCATCTTAGATCACCCGCCCTTTAAGCAACCACTCGTGTTAAGAGAGCACATTAACCCGTACAACAGAATTGACTGTTGGCTATAGTTTAAAAGGTTTTAAATTCTGGCCAGGACTTCCAACACCTGTGTATTCCAAGTTGAGAGAGTTGTGAAAGTATCTGTAACAAATCGCCCACAAAATATACAGTCAATTCATTTTACAGTGTATCCTGTGAAGCGCTTTGAGACGTCTCGAAGACGTGATAAGGTTCTGTATCATATTGCAAGGATTATTATCAATGAATATGGGACGGCTGACTATCTGGGATGATGATTTTAGGTCTGCGGTTCGAGCAGTTGCAGAAGATTGGCCATGATCTCTGCTATTTTAGATCCTCATCAACCAGAGATTTTGACTCTCAACCTCTTGGTTTTGCAGGTTATTATCATGAACTCCACAAACATAAAGGCCATTCATAACATCATTGGGGAGCAGGTAAGTCATTGGGACAGTATGTCACAAACTATCTTATCACCAATAGTTACCAATAACTCATGTTAAATGATTCAGAGGAGAAATCTAGATGTGCACTGCAATGGGTCTGATTATAAATGCCTAAAAACCTTCCTCATTGACCGCACTTTTTGGTCATGTTTCCCCCATCCACCACACCCCACCCTTCTCCCCACCCCTTGCATCCACCCGGCCCCCAACCCCAGCTCAAGCGCAAACCCTGGACTATTAAGTGCCTTGGGACGTGCTCCTTTCGACATGAAAGGTAATGTAAATATATCAATGTAAATTTGTATTGTACTTAAGCTAACAGTTCGTGCTCATGAAAGTGAGTACTGGCAGTGCTGAGGACTACAAAATTTATTTGACATTTAGTGACACTAATTCACAATGTCACCTTCTCTGTGAGCTTTGCCTTGCAGGTGGCATCGTATTTTGGTTCAGCGGTGGCTGTGCTGGATATAAACAATGATGGGTAAGGATTCACTTCTGTAAGATGTATAGATTGTATACATGAAAAAAGATTGGTTACTCAATCCATGACTGTCTGTGAGCAATTGGCTGCCGAGTTTCACCCACAAAATATACTTTACAGTGTACCCGGTGAAGCGCTTTGAGACGTCTCGACGATATGATGAGGCACTATACCAACAACAAGATTAGATTTGTATAGCGCCTTTCACATCGGGAGGACGTCCCAAGGCGCTGGAGAGTGACAGCATTTCAGACCTGACCTGGGGTCGGGCGGGAGAAGAAAGGGGAGGGGAAGGGGGGTGACCGATTGCATGGTCGAAAAGGAGGGTTTTGAGACGGGACTTGAAGGAGGCTAAGGAGGGGCCGAGGCGGAGTGATTGGGAGATGGAATTCCAGAGTTTGGGGGCAAAGTGGCTGAAGTCTCTCCTGCCAATGGTGGACTGGGTGGGTCAGGGGACGTGGAGCAGGCCAGAGCCGGCTGAGCGGAGGGAACGGGCGGGTTGGTAGGGAGTTAGGAGGTCACAGAGGTAGGGTGGGGCGAGGCCATGGAGGGCTTTGTAAGTGAAGACCAGGATCTTGAAATGGATCCTCTAAAGGATAGGGAGCCAATGGAGTCGGGTGAGAGTGGGGGAGATGGGGTCACGGATTTTAGTGCAGGAGAGGACATGGGCTGCAGAGCTCAAGATTATTTGCAGCCTGCGAAGCGAGGAGTTGGGAAGGCCGACAAGCAGTGCGTTTGCAAAGTCGAGCCTGGAGGTGATGAAGGCACGAACAAGAGTTTCAGTGGCCTGAGGGGTGAGGTAGTGGCAGAGACGGGCAATGTTACGGAGGTGAAGGAAGGCAGAGCGGGTCATGGCTTGAATGTGGGGGAGAAAAGACAGTTGAGGGTCGAACAAGACACCTCGGTTCCTGACTGGCGATGAGTTGTAGTGTGTAACCATGGAGGTTGATGCTGCCAGAGCCTGAGGTGCAGAGGCGCTGGCGCGAACCAATCAGGAGGGCCTCAGTCTTGTTCACATTCAACTGTAGGAAATTTGCCCTCATCCAGGACTTGATGTCGGACAGGTAATCTGTCAGGACAGCAGTGGTCCTGGAGTTGAGGGTGGAGGCAGAAAGATAGAGTTGGGTGTCATCCGCATACATGTGGAAGTTGACCCCATGTCTGCAGATGATGTCACCAAGGCGGAGCATGTAGATATTAAAAAGGAGAGGGCCAAGAACAGAGCCCTGGGGGACGCCAGACGTGACAGTGCGGGGGCTGGAGGAGAAACCGTTAGATGCGAAAACGTGGAGTAGGTGAGAGAGATAGGAATCAAACCAGGCAAAGGCAGATCCGTGAAGATTGAGTAAAGCGGAGAGGCGGTTTATGAGGATGGAGTGGTCGACAGTGTCGAAGGCGGCAGAGAGATCGAGGAGAACAAGGAGGCAGAGGGAGCCCTGATCACAGATGTTCAGAATGTCATTAGTAACTTTGACCAGGGGCTGTTTCTATGCTATGGGCAGCGCGGAAGCCGGATTGGAGGGGTTCAAGGAGGGAATGGTGAGAGAGAAAGGAGCGGAGCTGGGACGCGACAACTCGTTCCAGGATCTTGGAGAGGAATGGGAGGTTAAAGATGGGGCGGTAGCTAGAGAGGAGGGATGGATCCAGGGAAGGTTTTTTCAGGATGGGGGTGATGACGGCTGTTTTTAGGGGGGTGGGAACTGAACCGGTGGACAAGGAGAGGTTGATGACATCGGACAGGAGAGGGGCCAGAGGTGGAGCTGGGAGATGAGGAGAGAGGTGGAGTGGGATCGAAGGAGCAGGTGGTGGGTTTGAGTTTGCATTCAGTCGTGGTGAGGAAGTAGGGAGAGATAGGGTCGTAGGAGTATAGGTGGGGGTGGGTCATGAGGGAGAGATGATGTGGGGGCTGTGGACGGGGCTGAGGTGGCTGAACGTATCCCCTCGATTTTAGATTCAAGGAAGTTCAGCATCTCCTCACAGTTGGAGTTTGAGGAGAGGATGGGCGAGTTATGGGAAAGTGGACGGAGGAGACGTTTAGTGGTGGAAAAGAGATCAAATGCAAGGATTATTATTATTATTATTAAAAAAACAGTCTTGGTCCAGACAAGCAATGTCTTCCAGGGTATGGCATAGACAAGAAAGGTCTCAAAGATGTGATAAGGCGCTGTATCAAAGGAAGAATTATTATTATTATAGTTCCTATCAAAAAAATCGGACCTTTAACCTTCCACTTCCTCCTGTTGTGACTTTCAGACGAGATGATATTGTGGTCGGGGCGCCGCTCTACATTATCCATAGTCCTGACGGCCAACTCCACGAGGTCGGGCGGGTGTACATTTACCTGCAGGACCAGCCTGGACAGTTCAGACAGCCACAGAAGCTGACCGGCACTTACCGCTTTGGCAGATACGGCAATGCCTTGGGCAACCTTGGGGACCTGAACCGAGACGGATTCAATGGTAATGAAACAAAGTAAAGGAGCACACACCTGTGGTAACATGGCAATCCTCAGCACAGAAGGAGGCCATTCAGCCCATCGAACCCACAAGCAATTGAATCTAATCCCACCACCGCCATTATACCCATATCGCTTCATGCCATTCTCTTCATATGTCTCTCCGTTCCACCATCGGTGGACAAGATAAAGCACTGTATCAAATTCAAGGATTATTACTATTATTATTACTACGTTAGCTGACGTGTGTCTCTGCAGATGTAGCAGTTGGCGCACCGTTTGCCGGTGAGGATGGGAATGGAAGAGTCTACATTTACACAGGTCACGCCAGCGGCCTCGACCAGAAACCTCGTCAAGAACTAATGGGTCCTTGGGCATCTGATTCAGGGTCAGCGAGGTTTGGCTTTTCACTAAGAGGAGGCTCAGATATAGACGCAAACGAATATCCAGGTGACGTATGAAACATCTGAAGATCCTGCCTTCTTTACCCGAGCACTAATTAGTGACCGGAACAGGTTGCCCGCGAGGGTGGTGGAGGCGAGCACTGGTTTAAAATGCGGCTTGACATTGTGATGGGTTGATGGTATGGTAGGTGTTGAGGGGGGAAGAGAGGCTGAACGTTTTTCTTCATCCAAATCGATCGCGTGATCTTGTTGTTGACAGAGCAGGTCCACGATCACACTGTAATAGAGCAATACGGATGGAGGGCCCTCTCTGGAAAACATACAACAAAAAAAAACATTTAAAATGTTCGCTCGAAATCTCTGTAAATTATGTATGTCACCTATTTTACGAGTGCGTTAATGGACTTCAGAGTATAATTTGCAGGTTATGCTTTCCACGTTTATTCATGACAAAGTTAAAGTCACCCTCTTTACCCCACGCTCAATAAAACAAGATGAAAGAGTGATATTTGCCGCAGTTTAAAACAATAATGTTTTTGTTTTGCGATGCATGAAATGCTCAGTATAAATGGCTTCGTTTCATTGGACTCCATAACCGCGCGTTCTCTCGCTCCTTGGTCTGGTCTTTCTGATCGTGTGAAACAGCTCCACCTCGTGGCGATCAATCAGTCGCAGAGGGCTGGTGAGTTGCGATGCTGGAGGCGCCGTCCTTTAGATGAGACGTTAAACCGAGGTCCCGTCTGCCTGTTCAGGTGAACGTTAAAGATCCCGTAGCACTTCTTGAAAAGACAAGACGGATTCTACCCGTGTCTTGGCTGATAAATCCCCCAGATACATTGGTCGTTTGCTTCGAGGCTGTTTGTACAGCATTGCTGTGCATAAAATATGTCGCCCTTTTGCGTACAAAATACAATCATTACACTTTACGTTATATCCCGTGAAGCGCGTTGAGACGTCCTCCACAAATGTGAAAGGTGTTGTACGAAATGCAACAATTATTTGTATTATAGTATTATAATCTGCGGAATTATAATAATCAGATATAATCAGTGTTACTGTATTAATCACTTTGATCAAATTCCCCCCTCAGCCTCACTCTGTTGACGAGTAATATTAGGCATTAATATTAGTGCTCTGAGACGCTACCCTGCGTGGAGGGCACGATGTAAGTGCAAGTTGTTGTCGTCGTCGTCGTTAAGTTCTGAAATGGTATTTTTGATTCTTTTGCAGACTTGATTGTTGGTGGATACGGAGTGAATAAAGTTGCTGTATACAGGTGAGGACCCAAACACGTTCCACATGTAAGACTAGCTTAATGGTACACGTTGCCTTTGTTTATCCGTTCATCAGACTCAGCTTTGCTCTCTGCGCCTGTGAATGGGAGATGGAGTTAAGAGAGAGCAGGAAAAGAAATCACAATGTTATAAATCATATTCTCTATGGGGGCGTGTTCCAGGAGGACACTAAAAACTTGCACCCCAAAACCCAACAAGGGGCCGAATGGCCTCCTTCTGTGCCGTAACATTCTATGAAAAGATTGCTTTTAGCTCCAAGGTTGACATTAGTGAGAAAAACACCAAGACTGATGGATACTACCTCAGGGTACTTATGGAGAAGCTTTGTGTAGCGGTGACAGACTTTACTCAAAGGGTAATTAATGACTGTAACAGGTTACCAGGAAGGGTTGAAGCCAGAACACTGGGCTTGTTTAAAAATGAGCTTGATGCCGTGACGGGAACTACGGTAGGTATTCGCAAAGGATGAGATCAAATGTGATCCAAACCGATCTTCTGATTTCTAAACAGAGCTCGCCCGGTCATCAGAGCAAACGCCAAACTCATTCTGAATCCGGATATCCTGAATCCTCAAGAAAAGACGTGTTACTTGTCTCAGTTGGGTGCCTCTGTGTCATGGTGAGAGACCTCCAAGGGATTTGTTTGTGTGTGTCCGTGTAAGTCAAGGGGTGGGGGTGGCATGGGTATAGGGGGAGAGGTATTTGTGGGTGTGGGTGTAGGGGAGGTGGTTGTGTGTGAGTGGGTGGAGAGGGAGGTGGGTGTGTATGTGGTAGGATATGGTGGGTTTGTGTGGGGAAGGTTTCATGTTGGAGCTATATGCGGGATGTGGATGGATGTTGTATAGGTGTCTATAACCGAATGATTTGCTCATCAGGTAGCGCCTTTAGTAAAAAAAAATGCGACACAGATTTAGCAATCTGATATTTCTAGTTCCTGCGCTGTTGCAGAGTAATCTCGAAGCCTGCATCCATAGTGGTCATGTTAAAAGCAGTTATAAGAGTCAAAGAATCTTAGAGCACAGAGGGAAGCCATTCAGCCCATCATGCCTGTGCCAGATCTTTAAAAGAGCTTACTAACTAATCCCCTGTTCTTCCCCCTTATATGAGTGATTACCGAGTCGTTGGCCCATCAGGTCACTGTTGATGGCACTCCCAGCACCTGGTATATAGCAGGAAGCTGATGCCAAGTGATGTCAGTGGTGATCTGACAACCCCAACCAAAAGGAAGCTTCTAAAATCTCCTGTCCGCCCACTCCTCAAGCCCAAACCCACTCAGGTCACTTACGAATGGGAAGCAGGTGCTGTGACTGATTGTCGTTCCTCTTCACTGGCACAGAAGCATTGAAGCCACATCATAGCAGTCACTGCACTGCCTGAGACCAAGCCGAGCTGGCTTTGCCGCTGAGGATAAGACTTAAGGCACTTGGCGTCTATTCAGTTTGTCTATTCTGCGGATCCAAAGCTTAAATCCAACTTGTGGCTTCCTGGTCTGTAAAGCTTAGTGCTACAGCAGCCCGGTCTGTCGGGTAAGCTCGCTGCTCTCCGTTTGAGAAGATCGCACAGATATACTGACTGTTGTGTAGATCAGAACCTAATCCTTATTTAGAGGACAGTTAAAAACGTCTGGTTGATGTTGATCATTAATGTGTCTCTGAGTTTTGCCTTTCACTCTCTCTTGCAGTTTTATTGTGCAGGCCTGCATTACAATCGAAGGCCACGGCATCCCACAAAACATGAGTAAGTTCGCCCGCAAAGTGCACAGCCACTACACTTTTGGGGAGCACCTTGTGAGGCAAAATAGCTGTAACATCCTCCATTGCTAAGGCGCCCGCTGCTCTTGCTTAAGAGAAAATGGCCGACTTTCAGTTCACTGCCGATCTCATTCCTGCATGCACACACGCAATGTGCAGGCAGTATCGCTGATGCCATTTCCTGCATACCGCACATGCAATTTACGCACAGGGAGTACATAGGCGCAGCAGGAAATGTTGTTCACCCACAGTATTCACAGTCACTGCACTTTACAGTACTGTATATCCTATCAACGCTTTGGGACGTCCTCCCGATGTAAAATAAGCTGTACCAAATGTAAGGATTATTATTGTTGTTGTTTTTATTATTATTATTATTACTTATCTTTATTCCAAGATCTGACTGCTGAAATCCAGCTGGACATTAATAAGCAGCGGTCACAGCAACGGACCCTCTTCCTGCATTCTAGCCAAACGAAGCAAGTGTTCCTGTTTCAGCCCAGAAACCAGAGGACTCCGACCTGCATTAACTTCACCGCTTACCTCAAAGTTCGTGCCTCCTTAACCCTTCTCACAAAACGTTCGTTCAAGAATTTTTCTGAGACGGTTCACAAAGGGAAGAATATCAATGCATTACCAAGGATTTTTTGTGGGCTCAGCCTGGTGTCCGACGCACACAGAAACCCATCACCTGGTTCAGGGTATCCGAACCAGACTGAGAATTCCATGCACGTCACCTACACGCGGAAATTCCAGTGTTAGGGATGGAACACGCGCGCGCTCTCCTGGAGCTTATCTAATTTCAGAGAATGTTAGGAGCAGGTTGGTAGGAGCCAAGGCTTTGGGACCCCAGAGCGTGGGTTGCGGTAACTGCTGGAGTTTAACCAGCTAAAAAGTACAGTGTGGCAAGCTTTCCCGTTGCCTTTCCAGCTAGAACCAAGGCTGCTGACAGTCAAGCTGGCTGGCCCGTTATCAGCCGTGCCTTTGAGAATGCAGACACGCCCGACTCAGACTAAAGATATCAGAGACAGAGAATTGACTTGTTTCTGACGTTCCATCACCAAACGTGCCACCTTGGAGTCAGCTCAGCAACAAAAAGACCCTGCGCAAAGAATGCGCGAAGCATTCGAAACAAGATAGATGAGTTAAATGCACAAATAGAAACAAACGGGTATGATCTGATAGCCATCGCCGAGACATAGTTACAGGGAGATCAAGGGTGGGAGCTAAATATTCCAGGATACGTGGCGTATAGAAAAGATAGGCAATGTGGTAAACGAGGAGGGGTGTGGCCCTGCTAATAAAGGGTGGGATAAAAACAGATTCTTAAAGGGCTGGATAAAGTAGGGACTGTTTCCCCGGTGGGAGAATCTATAACCAGGGGTCACAGTCTTAAAATTAAGGGTCAGCCTTTTAGAACAGAGTTGAGGAAACATTTCTCCACTCAGAGGGTAGTGAGTTTATGGAATTCACTCCCCCAGAAGGCTGTAGATGCTCAGTCCTTGAACACCTTCAAGGCTGAGACTCATAGATTTTTTTAAAAAATAGAGGGAATAGAGGATATGGGGATAGGTCAGGTAATTAGAGTTAGGTCTGAAGATCAACCATGCTTATAAAATGGCGGGGCAGGCTCGAGGGGCCGAATGTCCTACTCCTAATTCTTATGTCTTATGTTCTTATTATGTGCTGGTGTTTATGCGGCAAGTGAACCTTCAATTGTCTCCTATTCCCCCCCCCTTCCCCCCACTGTACGCAATAAATTTCCTCTTAAATATATTGATGCTTTTTGCTTCGACCGCTTCCAGTATCCGTGAGTTGACATAGAGTTGCTAAGGAGGGCAGAAAGGCTTGGAAAGGATTCGAAAGGGTTAAATTCCGACACTTTCACTCCCGCAGAATGAAACAGAACTAAAAGATAAACTGAGTCTGATTGTCGTGACTCTGAACTGCAGTCTGCAGGAGATGCCCATGCTCAGCAGCGACATCCTCACACCGGTCCTCAGCCCTGACAAATACGTGCTGATCACTAAGAAGGTAAGATTTTGTGGAAATTTAATTTTTTTTAATTTAATCACAGTAATGTTGTACAAACAGCATCGAAGTCCTTCATTGCAGAATGGGCATGAGAGTCAGGAGGGATTGTTGGCTAGGATACCGGGGGGGAGAGAAAGAGAAACTCCCTTCTCAAATAATAATCAAAATAACACCCTGACCCGGATTTCTTCTTTCCTCGAATATAGGCTCGTATTCTGTTGAATTGTGGCCCTGATAACATCTGCATTCCAGCTCTCAGCCTTGCTGCCAACATGTGAGTCTGCTCATCTCTCTCCTTGTTTCCACTTGAAAGCTGCCCAGTTGTGAAATAGGCCAACAGAGAACAGGAAGGTCAGAGGTTTCACCTGCGAGCAGAACAGGACACTATAATTGTTCCCTGCCACCCTGGGGTAGAGTGGAAAAGTGTCCCCCATCCGCCACCCCCCACCCTTCCTGATTACAAATCTTTGCTTGAGATGAATGTGTCCCGACATCAGGCAAAGACAAATGAGCTTGATTGTGCATGTATTTTGTGAATAAACAGACTGATGATGAGCACCCTCTAGGCTCACCCATGTATATAGTCCACCCTCCCTTGCCTCCGTCAAGGTACATCACGAGACCCTACTCTACGACTGTGACTTTGGTCACCGGCCTACGTATACCCTCCCCGCCCTCCGCCCACGACCCCTCCTAATCCAAAACCCCCAGCTCGGGTCCAAATCCCTGACTGTCCAGCACCTTGGGACGTCCTCCCGACGTGAAAGGAACTGCGTAAATGTAATGTGCTGTTGTTGCTGTATAAGAAGGCTCTTCTAGAGAGGAATCCTTGGTCTTTGCCAGCCTGTGCCTAATATTAGGTAGGCAAGTTGGTTCCCTCCAGGGAGAGAGAGTGCGCATTCCATTCCAAACATGGGAATTTCCATGTGGACATGGTATGCGTGGAATTCTCAGCCTGGTTTGGATGCTCTTAAGCACGGTGATGGGTTTCCACACGTGTCAGACGCCCGGCTGACCGCAGCAAAATAGGGAGGTAGTGGAGAGCACGAGGCTCGTGTGAAACCTTACTCCAGAACCAGTTCTCCTTTAGGAGAACAAGAGAGGAAAAGAAGCAACTAATGCTCAATCTTTTTAAAGGAAGATTTTGTTCCTTTATCTTTTTCTCCTCTTGTTCTGATGTCACTCACTTACTACTGAAAGGACAGGAACTGATCCCTGGTAACTAGGGAGTCGGGGGTTAGAGCCCTCGCCTCGCAAGCGAGAGATTTAGATTTGATTCCCAGCAGGGCGAAACCGCGGGCAAGTTCCCTTACTCCATGTGCCCGATAACAATCCCACAAGAAAATTAAATAAATAAAGAAATAAATAATAGCTTGGTCACTCAGTCTACGACTGTTTGGGTGGGACGCTGCTGTGCGCAATTGGCTGCTGCGTTTCACCTACAAAATATACAGTGAATTGACTTTACAGTACGTTCTGTGAAGCGCTTTGAGACTTCTCGAAGAAGTGATAAGGCGCCGTATCAAATGCAAGGATTATTATTATTGTTTATTGTATAACTACCGATGCCATTTCTGAGATGGCCACGAGGTGGTGCAGGAGAGAGCCTGTGATTGACCGTGAAAGATGTCATGGTTACAATAATCATCCTCGCATTTGATGTAGCCCCTTATCATGTCTTCGAGACGTCTAAAAGCGCTTCACAGGATATAACGTAAAGTGAATTGACTGCACGTTTTGGGGGTGAAACCGGGCAGTGGTACCATCCATTGGCTTCGGCATCTGAAGGTTATGAGGTAGGAATGGAGATTTCTCTAACGTGCTGTGTGTTCTTTCTGACAGAAATAAGCGCCGTTTGTTCATTGGCGACACAAACCCACTCACGTTGATATTCACCGCAAGCAACGACGGAGAAGGAGCCTTCGAAGCTGAGCTCCATCTCCCCATTCCTGCAAACGCAGACTTCATAGATGTGGTCAGGAACAACAAGGTACTACTAACAACAACAGCAGCTTACATTTATACAGCACTCCTCACCCAGGATGGCGTCTCAGATCATAGGGTAGTGGCTAGATATCTATATAGTTAAGATGTACATTCATAATCAATACATAACCAATCTGTAATGCGCTGCCTGAAAGGATGGTGGAAGCAGGTTCAATAGCAGCTTTCAAAAGAGAATTAGATGGGTACTTGAACAGGAAAAATGTATAAGTTTATGGGGGAAATGGGACGAGTTGGTAGCTCTTTCAAAGAGCCACGATGGGGCGAGTGGCCTGATTCTACGTTTGACTTTTTTTTACATGTTTGTTCAAGTTTGTTGATTTATTTTCTAACGTGCTGGAATTCTTTGTTGAAGAGTCTCAGTAAGCTAAGATGTAACCTGGAGATGGAGAATGAGGTGAGGACAGTGGTCTGTGATCTTGGAAACCCCATGCGTAATGGAACCAAGGTGAGACTGACATAAGGGGTAAGAGGGGTGGGTGGGTGGGGAGAAAGATAAATTTGTTATACAACATTTCATAACATCACTTCAAATCTATCGTATGATCAAACTGAATCCAAAATGAAAAGTTTCAATTTTTTTGGTGAAGTAAGGATATCAAGGGTTGTGCCAGAAAGGAGGGTAATTGGAGTTGAGGTAGTGATCAGCCATGATCCAATAGAATGGCGGAACAGGCTCGAGGGGCTGAATGGCCTCCTCCTGTTCCTATGTTCTGATTGAAAGGTTACAGTTTGGGTGTCTTGCCTCAATAACATGATAAGACACTATATCACATGCAAGGATTATTATTGTTATAATAAATGGCCTTAAATTTAATTTTGGACATCTCTGCGTGTTCCGATATCAATTACAGCTTGAATTATGCATACTTTATCAAGGTCAAATTGTCATGTAATATCGATTGATTTATTCTACACTTCTCTAGATATCTGCAGGCCTGCAATTCACTATGCACAGCTTGGATCAGGTGGAAAATGTTACGTTTATCACTCAGATAAAAAGGTAAGTAAACAGAAGTAAAATAGCTTTTTACAGGACCTATAAGTCTAAATCTCTTGAAGCACTTGACAGTAGTAATTGCCAAGGTTAAAAACTGTTTTGTGGTGAAATTGGTCAGGCCACAACTGGAATTTTTCTTTTAGTAAGAATTCAGAAGGCTCACGCAGTAATGCTGTCCATTTGAACCTTATGGTGGCTTCTGCGGCTCAGGTCATTCTAAGAGGGTAAGGACCATTTTTATTACTCTTTATTCTAAATTCTTATCGTACTTATGCGCGCCTAACACATTGCACACGCACATGCGCAATGTATCGCACCGATGTAGAGTCCTGTAGTTCAGGGGTTAGAGCGCTTGCCTCACAAGCGAGAGACCTGGGTTCGATTCCCGGCAGGGCGAAACCTTGGGCAACTTTCCTTACTCTACAGGCCTGATAATAATCCCTCAAGAACAACGTAAAATGATAATTTGGTTACTTCAATCCACGACTGTTTGTGAGACGCTGCTGTGCGTAATTGGCTGCCGTGTTTCGCCCACAAATATACAGTCAATTCACTTTACAGTATATTCTGTGAAGCGCTTTGAGACGTCTCGAAGACATTATAAGGCGCTATATCAAATGCAAGGATTATTATTAAATACACACGCACGCAACAGATGCAACCACATGCACACGCAGTAGTAATAATAACAATCCTCTCACTTAGTATAACCCCTTTCACGACGGGACGGATGTCTCAAAGCGCTTTACTGTAAAGTGACCGTGTATTTTGTGGGTGAACGCTGCAGCCAATTTGCAGAGAGCAACATCCCCCAAACAGCCATGAAGTCAACGACCAATTTTATTTGGCCAGGACACCAAGAGACAAACTCTCCTCTGCCTTTGAGCAGGGATCAATAGCGTCCCCCTGAACAGGTAGACGGGGAGCATGGTTTAAGGTCTCATCCAAAGGATGGCACCTAGGATAATAAAGCGCATCTCCGGCATTGCATCAAGTTTGTGGTCGCCTTGTTGAACGAGCTCCATTAACGTGTTTCTGTTTAATGTTAGGGTGTCACTGCCTGAAGAGGTTGTGCTTCAGTTCACCGATGAATCACTGGAAAACCCAGAGATGCAGAATAACACTTTACCTGTAATGGAACACGTTTATGAGGTAAGTACTTGGGGAGGAGTTTGAGAGGTGCCTATTTCTGGTGATGATGATGATGATGATCAGCAATGAGCTAGTCACCAGGTACAGCTGTGTACAGCGACTATCTGTAGCCATTTAGCCCACAAAATATACAGTCAATTCACTTTACAGTATATTCTGTGAAGCGGTTTGAAATGTCTCGAAGCCATGATGAGGTGCTATCTCAAACGCAAGGATTATTATTACTGCAAACTGGAAGTTCACATGCTCATAACACAGAAGAAAGGACTCGTGGGTTTAGATTGAAAATGATGCTCCCGTGTTGACATCATCATAATAATAATAATAGTAATCCTTGCATTTTATATAGCACCCTATCACGTCGTCGAGATGTCTCAAAGGGCTTCAGAGGATACAGTGTAAAGTATAGTGACTGTTTTGTGGGCGAAACTTGTTTTATTTTAATCGCTGTTTACTCTAAATTCCTACAGTACAGAAATTTTTTTTTTTTTTGCGGACGTCACACGGATAGTTTAGTTCATAAGTCGGTTCAAGAGGAAAAAAAGCTACACTACAATGTAATTCAAGGAAATCTTATCACTACTAAGATCTGCGGTAAAATCAGTGGTGTTTCCTAACTCATTCCTTTTGCCAATTATCCCAAAGGAATACCTTATGAAATGTTACAAATTTCACTCCACTGGATAAAAGAATTCCCTTTTTTTTATTTACCGGTTTTCTTCATATCTTGACACACGTTACCAGGATTACACAATATGTGAGAAGAAGAAGAATCCTTGCATTTGATATAACGCCTTATCACATCTTCGAAATGTCTCAAAGAGCTTCACATAATATACTGTAAAGTGAATTGACTGTATATTTTGTGGGCGAAACTCGGCAGCCAATTGCGCACAGGCAGTGTCCTCACAAACCAGTGTAGGTGATTTAGAATCCATCAATGTACCTTTAAAAAATGTCGGATTTAATTCTGTGTTTAGCTGCACAACAATGGCCCGGGATCAATCAGCGCTGCCGTGTTGGAGGTGGCCTGGCCTGTGGAGTTTCAAGGCAAAAGTCTCCTGTTACAATCCAAGATTTTACCACAGAGCGGAGTGAACTGTACAGTAGACTCCAATTATGCTGACCTGTTCATGGGATGGGTAAGACGTTACATAATGAACTAATAATAATAACAATAATAATAATCCTTGCATTTGATATAGCGCCTTATCCCATCTTCAAGACGTCTCAGAGCGCTTCACAGAATATTCTGTAAAGGGAATTGTGGGTGTGACGCAAAATGTTAGACATCTAAGTTTGCATATGTCTCTAACACAGTATCTTTACTTATTAACCTAAAAGGTTATGCAGAACTAATTTACTCACGTTTATTGAGGGACCAGGCACAATCTCCCTGGGTGAATATTAGGATAAAAAACAATCACACAATGTAATGCCGTGTTCTACTGACAGTTAATGAAGATGTTTCATCTGTAGGAGGAGGCCCCAAGTACAAAGAGCCCATCCACTGCAAATATTGTGAGGATTCGGGATAACCATAAAAGAGATGTCAGTGAATCGGAATTTCCTTTGGAGGAGGAGACCAGCTTCTCTATGGTGAGGATGTTATTCCATATGAGAATTTTATTTTGTTTTATACCTTTTTTGCCAGTGTTTGCGTGATGGCTCATGAAACGTTTCATACTTTGGTTTTGCCTCATAATTGCATACCTCACTGACTTAGCAACCTACGACAACAACAACATTTTCAACAACAACAACGGTTATATTTGTATAACCGCCTTTCATGGCGGGAGGATGTCCCAAGGCACTGGACAGTCAGTGTTTCGGACCCGAGCTGGGGCTCGGGATTGGGGAAGGTGGAGATCCGTGGGGGAAGCAGGGTGTTTGAAGAGGAGGGTCTTGAGATGGGTCTTGAAGGACCTAAAATGTTATGCACAACAAACAACAACCACGACAACTTGCATTTATATAGCATCCTCCAAGCAGGGCAGCGTCTCGAACAAAAGACAATTGTACACAGATTAAGAGTTTGTACTTCAACTCAAAACATGTTGCATGTGGTAGGGCAGGGGACAGAGTGTCCTGGCTTTGTTGGAAGAAACAGTTCCTGTTAAACAAACCACGTGGGGACTGCCTAGCGATGAGGGAACTGAAGGTGACCAAATGAGGAAAACGTGGGGTGGGATGGGATGGAATATATGAGAGGAGATACAAGGAAAAGCGCTGTGTGATTTGGTGCGTACTCTTTTTTTTGCTTTGCCGTTGTTCGTTTGGTAACAGAATATTGGTGTTCCCGGCATAAATAAAACACGGACTTTTAGTTCCAAACGTGACGTCAACTGGTCCACGTTAGTCATAGTCCACATGTTTGGGGTCATAACCGAGATGCCCAGAAAATAGGAAGAGTGATTCTGAGTCAAATTTCAATGAGTGAGTCACTTTGAGTTGTTGAGTCACTTCTCCGGAGGCCAATGTATTGAGTGACCATGAGTGAGCCAAGTCTTGCGTGCCAGACTCAAACTAAAATGTAATGTAGAGCCGACACCATCAGGTGTCAGTCGCTAGCTGACTAGATCAGCATCATGAACTTGCTGAGGACCCAGTGCATGAGACTGTAAATTATTGTCTAAATTATTCACAACCAAAACGTTTTGATCCTTCCTGAGAGGAACCAGAAGCCATAAAGGAAAAGGGTTAGAAACCTGGGGGTTATCCTCAGCAGGTTAACAAGGTTCATAGTACAGTAAAGTGAATTGACCGTCTGTTTTGTGGGCGAAATTATTGATCTGGTCACCAGATGCTCATCATTCATGCATAAGTACAAAGTAACTTAACCAGTTTATTTACAGGCCACAAGCACCACCGATCATCTTTCTCGCATTGTAACATGTGAAGGTCTTTCTGCCCCCACCCTTTGGAACTTCATCCCACAATCCCTCCACCTCCTTTGCCTCCTTCAAGGCCTGTCTCTAGACCCTCCTCTTCGACCGTGCCTTCAGTCACCCTCCTACCCCTACCCTCCCCGCCCTCCACCCCTCATGATCCCAACTCCCAGCTCGGGTCCAAATCCATGACGTGAAAGATGCTAAACAAATGCAATTTCTGGCTTTTGCTGTTATTGTTGGTGATGTAGATCAAGATAAAAGATAAATAACATTGCAATTTACTATATGCAAAGATACTTAGGTGCTTCAGTTTGGCTCAGTTGGTAAGCGCTCTCTGGTCAGATCAGTACAGTAATACATACTTCAACTCAATGTTTGGGATGGAATGTACGTTGCAATGATTAGCATTGGACTGTCTTCTTCCAGAACTGCACCAGGGTAAGGTGCACGACAATCAGGTGTCACATTGGTCTTGTGGAGAAGGGAAAGGGAGCTGTGGTTAATATCCAGTCTCGTCTGCAGATGGAGATTTTTATCAAGGTAAACTCAAGATGTCAGGCATTCAACTGTGCTCCAAAGCACAAGTTCACTCATGAACACACACACTCTCACATTCGCTCACTTTTGCACTCACACTCACTCTCGCTCTATTTCTCTTGTGCTATCCCTATTGTGTTCTCTGTCTTTCTCGTGCTCCCTCTTATTTGTTTCACGCTCACACAGTCTTTAAGCTCTTTAATGTCTCACTCACTTTCAATCCACTGTATCTCTTTTTCTGCTCGCTGTCTGTCTTGCGTTCCTTCTCCATCTTTCCTGCATTTTCTCTTTATCTCTCTTGCCATTTCCCCTGTTTTCTCTCCATCTCTTTTGCTCTATCCTGCAGTTATTCTCGCTCTTTCTCTCTCCCTCTCTCTCTCTCGCTCTCTTGTCCACTCTATCTTTGAAACATCACTTTTATTGCAATAAAATCCAAGAATAATTATTATTGATTTTTTTTTACAGAAGACTTACAAGCAATTTACATTCCTGTCTAACGCGAATTTTATGGTGAAGAAAATGCCATATAAAGTGCTGCCAGAAAGCCCCTCAACTGGCACAGCAATGGTAAGTGCCAAACACAGAAGCTGTTGTAGAAATATCCAGCGGAAATCAAATCTCAAATCCTATGTGCCTGTTGCTTTGTTCTGCTTTCTCTATATGTTCACATTCAGGGGTGAACTATCTAGTGGAGTCCTGCAGCATAGTGGTCAGTTTGCTCGCCTCGCAAACGAGAGGACCCAGGTTCCATCACGGGCTCGGTGAGACCATAGGCAAGTTTCCTTACTACTCACGCCTCTGTTCACCTAGAATTGGTTGTTAGTCAATTGGCGGATCAGCAACACGTTACAGCAACTTAGGCAATCTGTTCAAATCCTAGAAAAGCAATCCTCTGCCAATCGACCAATAACAGAGTTCCTACTTACTGTTGGGTGAACAGAGGCGTGTGAACTAAAGAAACTTGCCCAACATTTTGCCCTGTATCAACATGGTGGCTTTTTTTTTTAAACATTGTGCGTTTCAGAAGTTTCTATGGATGCATATGGCAAATGAGCCTCTCAATGAAGTGTGTTTCTTGTTGCCAGGTAAACACAGTGATCGTGCGAAGACCCCCAGAGACCAGCTCACCCACGCCTAACTGGGTCATTTATGTTTCTGTGCTCGGGGGTTTGGTACTTGTGGCTCTGATGACAATTCTCATGTGGAAGGTAATTATTATCAAATATGCCATTGCAATAATACTCTATCCACAACAGCCTAGCTCCCAGCTAGACAAGCAGCAGGAAGCTTGCCAAGACAGTGCTTTCAATGGCTAGCTAGCAAGGCTGGTTTTAGCTGGTTAGACTCCAGCAGTTAACCCAACGCACGCACTCTGGGCTCCCCCTCAAGCCTCGGTTCTTGCCAACCTGCGCCTAATACTTTCCGGAATTGGGTTAGCAGGAAGCGTTTCTCCAGGGTGAGAGAGAGAGAAAGAGAGCGCATTCCATCCCAAATCTACCTCTGGGATTTCCATGTGCCGGTGGGATGCATGGAAATTTCAAGCGTTGACTACCCAAGCTACGTGGTTGGTGTTCGCCGCGTAGGGAACTTGAGCGCAAACCCACATCTCAGTGTGTCCAAGGGTCAGTCCTCAGAGGAGCCCTCGAGCAATCTGTTTGAGTTTGTGGCAAAAAGTGAATGAAAGTCACTGTTTGTGGTTTTTTGTTTCCAGTGTGGATTTTTTGAAAGGAAACGCCCCCCTACAGAAGATGACGAATAACATAACAAGGCTCGCTCAGTCTGCAAACCTACTTTGGGCAGCCAAGCAGCCAAGGCCTCTCCGCCTAAAGACTTTCCAAAGGAAAAAAAGTTACAACTCCCTTCCACGTCTCTCCGCACCTCCACTCCCCCACCCCTCCCCTCCCCAGCAACTTTGTCCTTCACAACTTCTTTTATTCCAGGCTTCAATATAGATCACGACAGGCTTTTTCAACTTGTCCAGAATAGTAGAACCAGAGGACACTGCCTGCGATTGAAAGGGGTTAAATTCAGAACGAATCTACGCAAACACTATTTCAGTGAGCGAACATAGATTAGATAGTTTTCTTTTAGGAGATAACATTATGGGATATAGTACAGAGGGAGTTTGGGATACATGTGCATGCGATAAGATGCTATATCATATGCAAGGATTATTATACTATTATTATCTTCTATAGGTAGAATTGTCAAGTTGTTTCTCTCCTTGATTAGGTCATTGAACATGGTGTTATGTTGATTGTGAATGAGATGCTCTAGTTGCTGGTCGGGGTAACATTTCACCACTGTAATCATTGGTACTTAAATTCCTGATGTACTTTCTTATGTAACATTTTTGTGTACCATTAACGTGATGCAACACAATAAAAACCCAATAAAGGACTTGTCATTGGTTATACTGTCATTGTGATATTGATACCACAATTTCTGATGCTGTCTGATACAGAGGTCTTGAAATATTTTCCGTATTTCCCGTATTGCCAGTCTATTGCTGAATGGGCCCCTTCCGAGGTTGGGCCATTTAACCCGCCATTGCCTGACCCCGCTTAACCACTTGCCGTGTGCACCTGATTCAATTTCCGGGCGGAACAAAACCTTAGGCAAGTTTCCTTACTCCGCACGCCTCTGTTTTACCCAGCAGTAAGTGGGAACCCAGCTGTTAGTCGATTGACAGATCGCTTTCCGTGGGTAAGGAATCCTTCATAAAATAATAATTTGGTCACTCAATCCACGACTGTTTGTGGGACGCTGCTGTGCGCAATTCGCTGCCGCGTTTCACCCACAAAATATACAGTCAATTCACTTCACAGTATATTCTGTGAAGGGCTTTGAGACGTCTCAAGACATTATAAGGCGCTACATCAAATACAAGGATTGTTATTTATTATTATTATTATTTAGTGAGATATTGAAGGGCAGCACACACATGTGAAACCATACCCAGGCAGGCGTTGCATGAAATGTAAGGATTATTATTATTATTGATTAGTATTGTGGAATATGTGGGTGGGGGGGGAAATCATCATTTTTTTCCAATCACAGGCAGATTTTTTGTTTTCCAATCGTAGGCAGAATCCGAAAGGATAAAGGAAATCTTTATATTGCAATAGAATATATTATTATCATTTATTGTTATTTGCAAATCGTGGTATTTGGCTAGAAATGAAGAAACAACAAACAAGAAGAGATTATGGGGGTGGGGGGACATTCCCTTTTAAGGTGGTGGGTCTATAGTTATGCCAGAATGGGACAGAGGATGGCGCTGGGAATCACCAACAAAGCTCCAGATCTTCCAACAGTTGATTTGAGGCTGGAGGGAGGTTGGTGGTGGTGGTGGTGGTGGGAGAGAGAGAGAAAGAAAGGAGAGAAAGAGAGAGAGAGAGGGAGAGAGAGAGGAGAACACTGATGGCTGAGAACTGAGCCACGAATTGAAGTGATGGTGCTGTGATAATGCCATCTCTTGTCGGTTTTAGGTTCACTCTCCTCACTTTGCTGAGTTGCAGCGTTTGGGAAACCTTCAGCAAAACACTGAAAATCCAGAATGTGGAGGGTGAGTAATAATGTGAGGGGTGTGGGGTGGGGGGTGGGGGGGGGACACACACCCAGGGGGTGGGGGAGAGGGAGGGAGGGCAGATAGGGAGGCAGAGAGGGTGACAACAAACACACACAGACACACACACAAAATCTAGATCCATTAAATTGTCAAGCAAGGGAGTTGGCTATTTTTCTGTTGGAGAATGTGAATCAAATATATATATATATTTCTCTATCTATCTATCTATCTATCTATCTATTTCTCTCTCTCTATCTCTATCTAATCTATCTCTCTCTCTCTAAATATATATATGTAATAAATTAGGTGGATTACAATGGCTTTAAAGTAGACTGGTGACTGTTTGCCAAGCAGATGTGTTTTTGTGTGTGTGTGTGTGTGTGTCTGTGTGTGTGCATTGTCTCAAGCAAACGGTTGGCAAATGGTTTGGGATTCGTGGCGACTTGAAACAATGCTGGTGTTTGTGGATGGGGGGAGTGGAGTTGGGGTGATGGGGGGAGTGGAGTTGGGGTGATGGGGGGAGTGGAGTTGGGGTGATGGGGGGAGTGGAGTTGGGGTGATGGGGGGGAGTGGAGTTGGGGTGATGGGGGGAGTGGAGTTGGGGTGATGGGGGGAGTGGAGTTGGGGTGGTGGGGGGAGTGGAGTTGGGGTGATGGAGGTGGGGTTTGGGGGGTTGATAGGAATTGCCTTTCCATTGCAGTGTTAATCGTATCGTTTCCAGAGAGAGCACTGCGGGGATATGGGGAGTGGAGGGGAGAGGAGAGGAGAGAAGGTGTTGGTTGATGTTATTTTTCTTGATGTTTTCTAAGCAAGTCTTTGTGTCTAGTGCGGTAGCTGCTCAGTTGGTTTGCAACATGTTTACAATGTGCTGGTCTGAAATCGACTGAAATATAATAATAATAATAATAATAATAATATTCATTATTGATTGTTTGAATAGGGTTTTTTTCTCTCTGTTACTCACTCACTCACTGTGTGTGTGTGTGTAAAACCCACAACATATGCTGACTGTATGGCTTTTGATTTTGATTATATTTTATGTTTTTTTATGTGTGTGCGTGTAAGAAAAATATTGTTTTTTTACGAATTCAATCATGTTTTTCGATGGGTGCATTTTTTATATATTAAATATATAATCTATATACACACACACATATATATATACACACTGGCTGTATATAGATATATATTTGTGTATTATATAATGTTTTATTTTGTTTTATCCCTGCACATACTATCCTCTTGGTTAGAGATACAGGCCGCCGGAAATGAGGATTGGATAGGCCAAGGCAAGTATTGGTGCAAAGGAGGTCAAATGAATAGGCTGTGGGCATCATTAAAATGATTCCTTTTGTGTCCCTTGCCTTTAGTGCTTGATTGACCACGAAGCCCGAGTATTTCTGCAGTTTACAAATAGGGATAGGAACGTGGGAAGGACAAAAAGACCCTAATTTTCTGAGCTGGGATTTCCAAACTCATCCCTCCCTGTGCTTTTGTGAATTTCTTGAGAGTGGAAAACAGTGCAGAAAATGTCCCTCAAGGGTTTTACATAATGCGATCCTGGCAGAACTCTACAATTGGTTCTGTCTGCCTGGACTTCAAAGACGATTTGAGTTCTATGTTGAATATTTTTTATTGGTAATAGGATTTGATTGTGTGGGGGAGTCATGTAAAACCTGTTTACCTATATATAGAGAGAGAGAGCTTACATGTGTCCTTAACGATGTAATTAATACATTCTGTGATTTTGTTGGTTAATTAATTACGTTCATTGAAAAGCAACGTCATTACTTGATGACACATGTTTACATGTAGATGGAAAACCCACAAAGTAGATGATCGATATTGTTCAATATTGTATATTTATCTACTTTCCCCCCAGTTTTATAACTTCTCTTTTACACTGTGGCATCCACCTACAACACATGGTCTCTAACTTTAGGGAAATGTCATTCTCCAATGGGTGCAAGCAGATTGCAGTTGGTTGATCAGAAATTGCGTGTTTGATCTGCGAGATGTTGGGAGAGGGAGGATGGATGTTAGTGACGGGTTAAAGGGAGGTGAGAAGTGTTTCACTGCAGCAAAATGATTAACAGTGGGGCACGCTATCGAGGCTAGGATAATACAAAAACAACTTGCATTTATATAGCGCCCTTCACATGGGGTAGCATCTCGGAGCACTTCATAGCATTCGAAAGGGCATTGGATAAACATTTGAAGAGGAAAAATATAAAGGGAGAAAGAGAACAAGGAATTGGAATTAGAATGGATTAGCTCAACTGGAGGACTGACCACTACTTGTTTGGGTCAGGCGTCCTCCAACGCTATAACTTATATTGGTTCAGAGAGAGGCAATAGCTGTCTTGCTATTGCCAAATTGAACCATCAAAGATGTAAAAAGCAGGTCTTTTACAGTGCAACTGATGTTCATCAGCTAACAGTACCTCAGCCAAACTAACCGTTCTTCATAGGTGGCCTAGTTGAATATTAGCACGTTCCTATATTGCCAGGCTTCAACAGCAACAACAACTTCTATTTATATAGCGCCTTTCACGTAGAGTAGCGTCCCAGAGCGCTTGACAGTGGCAGAGCAGGATTCCGAGCTCGAAGAAGGGGGAGGTGACTGTAAGCACAGTCAATATCAGCTTACCCAGCACAAACTGGAAATCAGACCTATACTAATGTTGATACGGAACTGTTTCCGCACTGACAGTGAGAGGTTTCTCAGCCAGGACCATATTTTGGTTAGAAAATATTCCGAAAAGAAAATATTATTTTTTTAAAAAAATTATACTAATCACTTCTTATCATTCAAGTCAACATGTTTGCTTTAAAGAAAATGGCATAAATCTAAACAATATTTGGTGAGATTCCTGCTAAGATTTCTTAGATAGAGATAAGTTAGTGAAAACTCCCTCATCATTTTTTTTTGCACAATATAATTAATAATAAAAATCTACAAGGTCCGAACTTCTCCAAGCACTTTGCACGTAATTCAAGTGTAGTATTGTATTGTGTTTATAGACAAACCCAGCAGCCATTTTACACACAGCAAAAACCCACATTTGAATTGTGACTGATTTTATCTGCAGAATTGTTTTAGGTCGGAACACAATTCTTTTTCATTAATTATTCTAGAATTGAAATTCAGGTTTCAATTTTTTTTAGGCTAAGACATGAGACTGACATCAGTTTTATATGCGTCAGCCTGGCTCAGTTGGTTGCACTCTCGTTCGGACTTGAGCTCACACTAGGCTAACACTCCAATGCAGGATGTTCAGGGCTGACATTCGGATGAGATCCCGTCTGCCTGTTCAGGTGGATGTTAAAGATCCCATGACAACACTTGAAAAGAGAAGGGAGTTTCTCCTGGTGACCCGGCCAACAATCTGCCCCCAAATAAAAATAAATGGTCATTCACTTCATGGCTGTTTGTGGGACATAACTGCTTTGTTTGCCTACAAATAACTTTATGGGATACAGTACATAAGTAGTTCAGGACAACAACAACAACAAGATTCCATTTATAAAGCGCCTTTCACGTCAGGAGGACGTCCCAAGGCGCTGACTACCTGGACAAGGGACAAGGGCATGCGACTACCAAGAAGGTGGAAGGCAATCTAGATGGACCTTATTTTTTTCATCCAGCATTTCTTATGTTCTTAAATACACAATTACACCACTTCACTGTAAATTCCTGTGAAGGCTTTGAGATGTGAAAGGTGCTACTGTATACTAAATGAAACAGTTATTATATAAGAAAAATGTTGTGATATTGGCCTTGTCTGATTTTGCTCTTGGAGGAGCTTTCAGTCTTCCAAAGTAGAGACAAAGAAATTGCCAGAAATGAAAGGCCTGACACTTTTTATAGGGTGTCATCATGTTGAAACAAGCGCTTCACATGTAATTGCAGCAAGATCACACAAATAGCCACAAGGTGATTTATGTGAGGGATTGTTTGACAGCCCTGCACAGCTCCTGGAGGGCGTTATGTGGAGTCCTAGTTTGTGAAAACACGTTCATATATCCAAAGCTTGGAACCCACCTTGATTAATATGCAGAGAGGTAAGAGCTTAAGCTCTGCACCTATCTCCAACTGGTGGAACCATCGCTTAATGGGAAAGGGATGTGTATCCGAGGTGGAAGCATGAAGATGGTGACAAGACTCCTACCCGTTTCACACTAAGCTGTGCTGCTCACCAGGAAGCTCGCAGGGAGTTTGTGTACGTATCTGCAGTCCTGGTCACCGTATTACTGGAAGGATATATTTTAGATTTGGAGAGAGGTGCAGTGTAGATTTACAGGGATGTTACGAGCGATGAATGGATACAGCTAGTGAGAGAGATTGGACAAATTGCGCCTTTTCTCTCTGGAGTTGCCGATTGAGAGGGGACCTGTCACTTTTATAGAGCTTTTATCACGTTAAGATTGTGCCACGATTCAATAAAGTGGATGTTAATAGGCTGTCTCCACTTATTGGCGAGTCCAAAACTAGAGGTTATAAATGTAAGAGCCAGTGGCAGATATAATAAGGAGTTTAGGAGGAACTTTATCACGCACAGAGGATGTACCAGAGGCTGTGATTGAAAACAAAAAGTCTCAATGTATTTAAGAGTACTTGATGCACGCATGAGGGAGAAGGGAATAGAAAAATATAGGAGATGGGGGATAGGAGGGTTGGGAGCTTATATGGAGTCCAAACACCATCAAGGTCTAGTTGGGCTGAAAAGCCTATTTCGTGCTCTCTCAGGGACGTCCTCCCGCCGTGAAGGGTGCTATACAAATGTAATTTTGTTGTTGTTATCAACAGAACAATTTTCTGTTATTTAGTGCCCTTCACATCAAAGGATTTCCCAGAGTAACTCATGGAGCCGACTGGGAGACTGAGCTGGGGGTGAGGGGGATTTGAGTGTTCTTAAGTCTTAAGTGGGTTGTGCAGATGGGGAAGGAGACTAAGAGATTCCCAACAGACATCACAATAGTTTTTGTGAAGGAGT